CGTGAGATCCTCACGGAGGAAGCAGGCAATGTCAAAGATAGCAATCTGCGCGACCTTCTGCCGTTTGGGTTCGCTATTCACCACGCCGGTATGACTAGAGAAGACAGGAATCTTGTCGAGGAGCTTTTCGCAGATGGTGCAGTCCAGGTTCTTGTCTGCACGGCAACGCTCGCATGGGGTGTGAACCTCCCGGCACACACCGTCATCATCAAGGGCACGCAGATCTATAACCCGGAGAAAGGCCGCTGGGTTGAGCTCTCTTCCCAGGATGTGTTGCAGATGCTTGGTCGTGCTGGTCGTCCGCAATATGACACGTATGGCGAGGGCATCATCATCACGAACCATGCCGAGCTGCAGTACTACCTCAGCTTGCTGAACCAGCAACTGCCGATCGAGTCTCAGTTCGTGTCGAAGCTGGCGGATAACTTGAATGCAGAGATTGTTCTTGGAACAGTTCGCAACCGTGATGAGGCCGTCCAGTGGTTGGGGTACACTTATCTGTAAGCTCACTTGTTCTCAAAGCGGTAAAAGTGCTGACATTTCCCACAGTTATGTCCGCATGCTGAAGTCCCCAGGACTGTATGGTGTTGGAGTGGATTACCAGGAGGACGACAATGGTCTTATCCAGAAGCGTGCTGATATTGCCCATTCTGCCGCCGTTCTGCTGGAGAAATGTCATCTCATCAAGTACGAACGTGCATCTGGTCGTTTCCAGAGCACCGAGCTTGGTCGTATTGCGTCTCACTACTATGTTACATACAATTCGATGGCTACGTACAACCAGCATCTTAGGTCAACCATGTCGACACTGGAACTCTTCCGGGTGTTTGCGCTCTCAAACGAGTTCAAACTTCTGCCGGTATGTCACATATTCCCTGTTTGTAATATGAGTCTCGACATTCATATTCATTTTTGTAGGTGCGTCAAGAGGAGAAGCTTGAGCTTGGTAAATTGTTAGAACGTGTGCCCATTCCTGTGAAGGAAGGCGTTGATGAACCTGCAGCGAAGATCAACGTTCTCCTACAAGCATATATATCGCAACTCAAACTTGACGGTTGGTAACGATTCAGCCGTCTATCATATTGTGCTGATTGGATGATTAGGCTTTGCTCTCGTGGCCGATATGGTCTTTGTTCAGCAATCTGCTGGCCGGTATGTGTTGTTTTAAGTCAGTTTACCCAACTCACACATGTTACAGTATTCTTCGTGCTATGTTTGAGATTTGCCTGAAGCGAGGGTGGGCAGTGCCAGCGCGTGCATGTCTTGACCTATGTAAGATGGTCGAGCGACGAATGTTGGTAGTTTTTAATAAGGTCGTTGATCATCAACTGATTGTTTGGTTTTCAGGTGGGGCTCCATGACACCGCTTCGCCAATTCAAGGGTGTTCCACAGGAGGTCATCCGAAAAGCAGAGGGCAAACAATTCGTAAGTTTGCATCAGTTCAAGTAAGGGACGTGCTAAGATAATTTTCATTAGCCATGGTATCGCTACTTTGATCTCGACCCTCCTGAAATTGGTGAGCTTATCGGCATTCCAAACGCCGGAAGGCTCGTGCATCGATTGGTGCACAGCTTCCCCAAGTTGCAGCTGCAAGCGCAAGTGCAACCTATCACCCGTTCTCTTCTTCGTATCGACTTGTCTATTGTTCCTGACTTCCGATGGGATGAGAAGACCCACGGAACAGCTGAAACGTTCCTCATCATGGTTGAAGACGTCGATGGAGAGATTGTTCTTTTTCACGACTCATTCGTTTTACGCCAGCGCTATGCAGAGGATGAACATAACGTCACCATCACAGTTCCGATGTTTGAGCCCGTCCCCCCAAACTACTACATATCTGTTGTATCCGACCGATGGTTACATGCCGAGACCAGACTACCGATCTCCTTCAAACACTTGATTCTCCCAGAAAAGTTCCCACCTCCCACTCCTCTTCTCGAACTCCAGCCACTCCCGCTGTCTGCCCTACACAACAAGGAATTCGAGAGCATCTACTCATCCACCATTCAAACATTCAACAAGATCCAGACGCAGGTTTTCCAGGCTCTCTACACATCTGATGAGAATGTCTTTATTGGCGCGCCTACTGGAAGCGGCAAGACTATCTGTGCTGAATTTGCTCTGCTCCGCCTTTGGAGCAAACGCGAGCAGCCCAGGGCGGTCTGTATCGAGCCCTATCAGGAGATGGTTGATCAACGTGTTGCAGAGTGGCGTCGGAAGTTCAGCGGCCTGCAGGGCGGCAAAGAGATAGTAAGCCTTACAGGAGACACCAGCGCTGACCTTCGACTTCTTGAGAAGGGTGATGTTGTTGTTTGCACCCCATCGCAGGTTAGTTTCTTCAATCATGTCGTAAATCTCTCACTCAACCGATATTTCTAGTGGGATATCCTGTCTCGAAGATGGCGACAGCGCAAGAATGTGCAGAACATCGGCCTATTGATTGCTGATGAAATCCAGCTTGTAGGTGGAGAAGTCGGTCCGACGTATGAAGTGGTGATATCTAGAACCCGCTACGTTGCTGCGCAGACGGAGGTTAAGACTCGCATCGTCGCCTGTGGTGTCTCGCTCGCTAATGCTAGAGATCTCGGTGAATGGATGGGTGCACCATCGCATGCAATTTTCAACTTCTCGCCTAGGTACATCTTGCAGCTTGTAATCAACATTCAGCCTACTAAATGACCTTTTGTAGCTCGAGGCCGCTGGATATGGATATACATCTCCAGAGCTTTACTATCCCTCATTTCCCTTCACTGATGATCGCCATGTCTAAACCTGCCTATCTCTCTATCGTTGAGCACTCGCCCACCAAACCTGTCGTTATATTTGTTCCATCAAGACGCCAGTGCCGGCTGACGGTTGACGACTTGTTGATCCACTGCGGAGCGGATAGCGACCCCGATCGCTTCTTGAATATCGAAGAAGCTGACTTGCAGCCTCATCTCGACCACATCAGCGACAAAAGTCTTGTCGAATGCCTGAAACATGGGATTGGGTATTATCACGAGGCGCTCGATAAGCAAGACAAGCGCATTGTCGAACGCTTATTCCAGTCTGGAGCAGTCCAGGTTTTAGTGGCATCTAAGGTGTGTAATCCACGAACCTACCGCTGACCAGCATCTGAGCGTCTGCAGGACACTGCATGGAGTCTACCCGTTGCAAGCTATATGGTGATCATAATGGGCGTGCAATACTATGAGGGCAAAGAACATCGTTATGTCGACTACCCAGTCATGGACGTCCTACAAATGATAGGTCGTGCCTGCAGGCCAATGGAAGATGATCGCAGCCGATGTGTCCTCATGTGCCAGCAGACGCGCAAGGACTTTTACAAGAAGTTCCTTGCAGAGGGTCTTCCCATCGAGTCCCACCTGCCTACCCATCTGTTGCACGACTATTTCCTCGCCGAGATCGCTGTCAAGACGATTGAAAACAAGCAAGATGCGATGGATATCCTGACATGGACATACTTCTACCGCCGGATGACTCAAAACCCCAACTACTACAATCTTCACAATGTCAGCCATCAGCATTTGTCAGATCACCTGTCGGAACTCGTGGAGAACACCTTGCAAGACTTGGTTAACTCAAAGTGCATTTCGATAGAAGATGAAATGGACGTTTCGGCACTGAACCTCGGGATGATAGCGGCGTACTATAATATCTCATACGTCACTGTAGAGGTGTACACCCTGTCGCTGAAGGAGCGGACGAAACTCAAAGGTCTCCTGGAAGTTGTTGCCTCTTCTGCAGAGTTCGAGTCAATTCCTATCAGGCGTCACGAAGACACCATACTCCGCCGCGTCTACGACCGTGTTCCCGTCAAGCTCGATCGTGCAGACTTCGAGGCCCCTCACTTCAAGACCTTCCTTCTACTTCAGGCTCATTTCTCTCGTATCCAGCTGCCACCAGACTTGGCGGCGGACCAAGTTTTAGTTCTGGAGAAGGTTTTGAACCTACTATCAGCATGTGTGGATGTCATGTCTTCGAACGCATGGCTAAATGCACTGGGAGCAATGGATTTGTCACAGATGTGTGTACAGGCGATGTGGGAGACCGATTCGCCCCTCAAGCAAATCCCCCACTTTGAGCCCGAGGTATGTCCATTCCTCTCGGTACTACTCTTCACTACTGATTAAATTTCAAAACAGACCATCAAACGTTGCAAGGATGCCGGCATTGTGTCTGTTTACGATGTCATGGAGATGGAAGATGATAAACGCACCGAACTTTTGCAAATGGATGGTCGTCAAATGTGAGTTCTATTGTATGTATCCATTTTAACCGTTTCTAACAGTATGTCTAGGCGTGATGTAGCGACATTTGTCAACTCTTACCCGACCCTTGACGTGTCCTTCAAGCTCGAGAAGGGAGAATATACTGCTGGCGCACCCATCACCATGCAGGTTTCTCTTACCCGTGATGCAGATGATGAGGATTCCGATGACCAGACTGTTGTCGCACCTTTCTACCCGACGAAAAAGATAGCAAACTGGTGGCTCGTAGTTGGGGAGCCGAGCACAAAACAACTGCTATCAATCAAGCGCGTCACCGTCACCAAGAACCTCTCGGTGAAATTGGAGTTCACGCTACCGAAAGGCGAGCACGCCTTAAAACTCTATGTGATCTGCGATGCGTACGTTGGCGCAGATCATGATCTAAGTTTGGAACCTATTGATGTCGCGGAGGGCGAGGACAGCGATAGCGATGATGAGAGCGGAGATGAGATGGAGGAGTAGTTGGTATGCTCATGTAAGATTTCGATGTATCTCTACTGTCTTTGTCGTACAGCTTTCCTTGCCGATTGTTAATTGTAAGATTTGTCTATTAATATTCGACTGGATATACTGCAAATTTCTAACACTGAGTAAGCTATATCGTACGAAGCTAATTCTATTTTAGCAGGTATATGTATATGTTCACTGTGCACGCGCGTAAAACGTCTTGAAGAATGTGGCCACACCCTCCTAAACGCAGTGTAGCAATAAGTCATTTTGGCCTACTAAAAGGGCAGCGGAATACACACCTGATCAAAGGTTTGCTTGAAACTTGCACGCTGCAATACTCGGTCGGCGTATTTCGTAAATTTAGCAAACTTGGGTCCCTTTAGCTCCTCACCCAGTTTGAACCCCATACCGGCAGGGAACCGGCCTATTTCCATTAATCAGCGTCAATTTCTAAATACACGAATGCGGGTACTTTACCTGCGTCAGTCTCCGTGATGATCCTGAGCCTTGCGATGTGCGGCGAGATGGAGGCATCTGCAATGGTGTAATGAACTCCGACTGCGAAATCTGCGTCCTCCTCAAGGAGTCCTTGGATAACTTCAATGCCCTTCAAGACATTCTCATATGACCCCACCCCTCCGAGGAAGGCATAAAGCGGCTCCTCGACGGATTTACTATTCGCATCAAGGAACAAACGGACTTTGGAGCGCGAAACAGGATCCTTTGGCAGGAGGCCAGAGTTTGGATAGAGGTCTGCCAAGAACTCGAGGATGACGTTTGATTCTGTGATTTTACTGGAAGCGGGCGAAGGTTCGTCGGGGTTGACGCTGGGTCCTCCATATGCTACAGTGGGCACCTATGTGATGTTACATCAATCTTCCAGAATAGACGCATGACATCAATCACACATACCTTGCCAACGGGGTTCACTTTGCTAACAAACCACTCTGGTTTATTGAATACATCGATTTTGTAGCCCGTGTAGGGTGCGTTAGCTTCGATAAGAGCTAATTCGGCCTGTCAAATCGTGTCAGAGACTCGTGAGAGGGTGTCAGCAGTGATTTCACCTTTTGGCTATAGGGCGAGAGCTAAAGAGGTATGGGTTAGGCAAGTCTTTCTCTTCAATTTGCATCGTTCCTCACCGGGTGGAGGTATAGAGTGAGCTGTTCAGACATTGTGGTGATGATGATTGAATAGAGCTTTGGGTGACTTCAAGGCGAAAGGGTGCTCATATTTATGTGTGAGACGGGTAGGACTCTGTGACATCGGTTGTCGCATCGCTTCAGTCAGTTGCTGACTGAAATCTGCATCAATATTATGAAGTTCATCAACAGGCTTGCTTACTATCCATGTGAATAAGCCTTACGAATGCTACTTGAAAGGTACCGTGGCACGAGAATCCTCGAGAAGCCGACTTAAGTTCGGGGGCCGGGAGGCTTGAACGTCATCAACTCCTGGCCCATCTGGAATGGTGGTACTTGATTGATTCTGCTCTTTGGCCTCAGAGTCATAGTAGAAATCTTGTACGACAGAGAAGAAACAACAGTACCCTCTGTCGGAAACATTTCATTAGCTGAGCTGATTCAGCTGTTAACAGGTACCGGCTACTCCGCTTTTGGGACAGCCATTATTCAGCGTTCAAGCGGCCCACAAGGTATCTAGTACTTTGTCTCACTATAATCGCTCTTACTGATGCCTTTTCGCACAATCTAGAATATTTGGCGCTGCGAGCCTGTCATAAAGTCGAATGCTGTACCGTGCTGTGAGCTCCTCTTTCACGGGAAATCGTCCTCTTGCTCTTTCCACGGCATTATTAGAATTCCTGAATGTATCTATGCCCTTCTGATCTTTGAGAGTCAGACTGAACCAAGTCTCAACGAAAAGATCGCACAAACTGGACTGTGGACTTCGTTGTTGGTTGCACCCATGCCGACTGTCTCAACTAGTCAAATTCTCAGTTTCAATGGTGCTTTGGGCCCTACATCAGGTACGTTCGACTTCCTTATCACATTGTGCAAGCTGACGTGTTCGATCAATAGTATCTGCACTCGTCGTGTCCTCGCTGGTGAATTACAGGTTGTATGCTCGTGATTACTCAAGAACCTCGTCGACTGTGGGCTCTGCAATGACAACATGAAGAACATGATCATTGCTCGCAATGGCTCCGTCACCAACATCTCCAGCATACCAAAGTTTACAAAACCATCTGGGAGATCTCGCAGAGGAAGTCGTCGACCTTACTGCCAACCGTGGAGCATTCAGTCAGAGCTTGAACATTCACTTGCAGTCGCCTACCGTAGGCCAGTTGACGAGTATGGCTAGAAGAAGGGCTTTGAGACCGGCATGTACTATTTGCGCACTCGTCCTGCGGCGCAAGCAATGATGTGCTCGCTAGAGAACAAGGAGGCCTGCCTCACGTGCTCTGGTTAACGGAGGTGGTATGTGTTGGTATCATGCATTTCTTGTTGTTTGTTACCCGCGTTTTGTTTATATGCTGTTTTGCGTCTGAAAATAAATCCTTTGTATACTTTGGCAGTTTCATTTTAGTTGGTGGTGGCATCAGTATACGGGGTTTGAGCAAACCCGATGCGGGAGCGGGAGGTATCAAACACGCAGTAGAACCGCTCGGCGAATGGGTAGCCGTTAACAAAATCAAACCCTTGTCCGCTGGGCGTACCGATGTCGGTAATGACGAGATAGATGGCGTTGCTACTGCCACCAATGTACGTGTTGAGAATACGAGGCCAGATTTGGCAGGGGTGAGAGTGTACGTTTCCTGTGCAAATGGTAAGCAAGGGATGTGAGAGCCGACAGAAATGGCGCACGCCGCCAATACCGAAGCTCAGGTTCTCGAGGGCTGCGTACTGGGCAGAGGAAATGAGGAGAAGACCAGTCGCCGCATCCGTAGTACTACCGGTTAAAAACTGGTACTCGACGTAAGCATCTAACTAACGTTGATTAGACCATGATTGCTCGCTGCACTCTGGATACGCACCGCTGGCAATGAGAATATAAGTGGTGTCAACATCGACGATACCAGCAGTGGAGGACAAGATCGTTGTGTCGCCATAGGAAATGCTCTGGTCGATACCCCAATACATCGATGCAGGACTGGTGGTAGTGATAGGACTGAAACAAAACGATTACTATCAGGCTGCATTGATGTAGGGACTGAAGTAGCTTACTTGTACGTAATGGGACCGTGCTTGTTACGGACAGTTCCACCAAAGGTGAGTTCTCCATTGATGACCTCCATCACTTCAGTGATGGGCTCGAAAGAGATACTAACAACCTCACGATGAATGGTGCCTTGGCTATGCAAGTTGTCAGTGACAGTTGGAATCGTCGTTGTCGGTTCATCTATCAGGGTACCCGCTGTCAAGTCTACAGGCCCTAGGCCAAGGATACCGTCAGCTCCGCCGAAGGTGCCCGACGTCTCAAGAGCAACACCAAACGACTGTTGGGGGATAGTGAGCCCATTGCCGAAAGTGAAGGTGTCGATGTACTCAAATCCTGTAGATAATCATGGGTATTTTCGATTACTTATGTTATATTTGTATGTCATACCATCGAAGTAGGCAGATCCGGAACCGTAGATGACCTGCATAGGCTCCTCAGTGTCGATGCTGGTGCTGGTCTGCGAGTACGCTTTTTTGGCGCCAATCCATGTGTCCGAGGTACCGGTGTCGACAATCAAGTCGTCTTCGATAACGCATCAGCAGTCGCATATTTTCTCAGTATTGAACTTACAAGTTGTAGGGGGGCTGCCAATCCCAACTGCTATGTAGTATCCAGTAGCAACATTGGCAATAGGAACGCCATGGCCGCCATTCTTCAAGTTTTGGCCTTTAAGCCTGAGGGCAGCGGCGCGAGCTCTATCCTGCTCCAAGAGGTTAATGGTACCATTGAGGGCACTTAACCTCCTGGCAATCGGCAGGGTGATGGGGGAATTGCTGACTTCAACGGGCGATCCCGTGGTTGACAAAGCCAGGAGGATAATTGTCAACAAGGATGCAACGGAGAACATGGCTAACTCGAGAGCAATATCATACACAGTGGTCTATTATATGCGCTGGTGAACGCAAATATTGGGCATCTTGCAATGGCCACGTATGAAACGCCTCCTCTCGAAAAAGCGATGACAAGATAGTGGTGATCCGAGTGTTACGAGTCAGGAGTGCAAGGTCCAACTCCCTGACAAGAAGTTGTGTTTCAATTCAAAGTGGTAGGAACTTACAATTAACCTGTTTACACATGGTCCATTGGTTCATTGACGTGCCTCGTGTTCATTCTCATAGAGATACACCTCAGAGGAACCTTTGTGTCAGGTTTGGGCCCTGTGGTAGTAAACGTTGCTGAGAAGAGCAGTTACGGTTGTCCCCAGTTGTCCCGGGTCCATCCATGATCAAGTTTTTGAATTCGCACCATGTGAGGTCATTTGCCAACTCGGTCCGAAACCATATAAAAGAATGATATAGTGACGAGGACTCACCATTTTCTGAAGCACGTCGGCTGGTTACACATGATCCAATAGTTCATTTATGCAAGTGGGAAAATTTTGCTAGAAGTTGCATGATTTTAGAGTCGTGATTTACTGATCACTCAAGTGCTGGTGAAACCAGATGACATTACCAATATTAATGTTGGTCTTGTTGTCTATAAGATCTAGGCACGGCAGAAGCCTGAGGTGGCCGTTTCAAGTGGATTCCGAGCTTGCGAGCGTTGAAACGTTGACACGCGAAACATGGCCTTTGTAAGCGGGCATGTGAAGATTTCCCTCTTGTCTAAATAGTGCACACGTCCGAACGCACAGAGTCAAAACTCGGAGGGCGGCGGGTGGCGGGGATTATCAAGCTGAGTCACATCGTCCCGATTGGGAATTAAACTCCGTCTTAATCTGGTCGGGAGGACGCCAAGAACGGTCTATACGGTGAATACGATATCTGGGATGTTCATACCGGGACCGCCTAGTCATGGTTATAAAAAGTCTCCTGAAAGGAGACCACTGTGCAAGAGAGATGCAACAACAGGCTTGAACAGGACCTTGTTGTTGATCAATGTTTGTCCTGTTAGGTGAGCATCGCGTACATCTGGTTTTTTGATCACCAAGGCGCTGCTATCAACTCCGTTCAGGACCTTCCACACTCGTCGATCTTACTTCTTGTTATGATCCACCCCACTACTCTGACAGGCCATTGCGCCCTCTGAAAGGGAGGCGTGCTTCACTGGGATGTCAGCATCTCATGGGGTACCGCTTATGTGGTCAATTCATAAGCGTTTTTGACGACTTGGGACCCTGTACTGTGCCGTAAGCTAGGCTCTTTCACAGGAAATTGTCCTGACTCTTCTTGCTCTTTCCACAGCATTATTGGAATTCTGAATGCATCTATGCTGACAGGAAGCAGTTCTGGAAAATTGACGTATTTGTGCCTCACAAGGTCTCTCTTCAACGCGCTGTGCTCGACCTTTGCACAGACGCATTATGCACATAGTCAACTGCACACACCTTCTCTACCGAGTGCGGAAACGTCACGACATTCGGACGGTGTGGTCAGCGAGGAATAAGGCAAAAGGTACACCAAATATCATTTACTCTTCGCTATGAATATGAACAATATTTCCCCGTATGCAGGCAGGCGAATTAGGTATTAGATGATTTCATTGGCTGATTCAGCTGGATTCAGCCGAATTCATGGCATCCATGAATGACTTCCAAGCACCACGCCCGCTACTCTCAGATACTCGGGACAAGTTTGATATTACTTGTTGCGAGTCTGTGACGACTCGTCCAGCATCTACGACTTCGGTCGGTGGCGAGGGGATATGTCAACATAGTGATCAGCTCAGAATGCTAACCCCTTCAAGTTCCTGCTCCCAATCTTCGGGACTGTCTCTGAGTCTCATCGTATAAAACGTTTAGAGAATAACGATACTATGGTGCGCGCCACTTAGCCACCACTACTTTTGTGCAAGCTTCCTACCCCCTTTGAAAAAAATCAGATTTTTATTTCGTCTTGTAGAAATGATCCTTTTGATAAGTACAATAATCCTACAAGAGGAATTTTTGATTGAGTTAAATCTGAGCGAGATATATTTCTCACGAGGCGGCAATTTGGCCACATATTATGGAAAGCAGGACCACCGCGCTCTATTTGTCAGCATTTCTGGTGCAGGACTCCGGAAACCGCAGAGACAGAGCTAAAATATAATAGAGTAAGTCCTGCTACGTACCTAATATAGATGTTTTTCAACCGTCCTTATTTTCCCCGACTTCGAATCCTGGTTTTCCCCAAGAAGAAGTTGGTCATCAGTGGTATCACGCCGAATGACATCAACTTTTTCGTTGGGCATTGTGTTGAAAGTACGTCGAAGATCTCGCCCGTTGGCTGTGCAGTCATTAGGTTGATGTTGTTTCACCCAATAATTGACAGTATAGGTCATCCCGTGTTGGAAATCGTACGGGAAGGAAACAAGAAGCATGCGTTTGGGAGTCGGGGATCCCTTGTGCGCAACATTCCAATATCACGCGCGCTACATAATAAGTCTTATTGTAGATCCAACTACCATTCGTCAACCACATGTCCATCTTCGTCATCGGAAAACTCCCAGACCACTAGACCAGCGTGACCAGACTCGTCAAGGTTGGTGTCTTCAATGAGAGATACATCAGGTTCATCCTGCCCTGCAAGTATGTCCAATTGTCGTGAATGAGATTCATCTACAACGAAGTCAGGTCTTTGTAATGTTGCATGCATGATGGAAAAGACGCACCAAGGCCCAATCCCCCACCTACACCACCCATATAATAAGCTCCATCGTTTCCGTCGTGAAATGGCAAGTCCTGGTGGTCTTCCAAGAGCGGTAAGAAATCATCGTCCAGATTGTCATCGGGGAGCACCATTGGCGGCAGCTGCTCGTAAAGTCGAGAGGTGATCTGGTGTAAGTCCAAATAGACATTCCACGCTGAGCGGCGATCGACAATGGGGCGGCCAAGCTCATCATAGCACTGATGTAAGAAATCACCGAAGTCTCGAGGGACAAGCTCAAAGACAGCGTGATTAAGATCAACATAGAGATTACGAACGTGGTCTATAGCGCCTGGTTCAAGAACGATCTAGATAGAAATCAAAATACTTGTACTTAGCACATGCAAATGAAAATAATAGGAGACGTATCACACACTTTGAAATCAAGTGCACCAAAGTCACCTGGTGAATCATAAATGAGGTTTGGGACCCCATGAGGGAGCACCTTGAAAGTAGATAGTAGGCCATGTCAGCGAGAGTGAGGGAAAACTGGTATGAGAACTTTATCAACCTTGTTGCGATCATGTCGCTTCGCAGTATTGTTTATACGGTCCTTGTACCCATCAAGCTCACGTTGCAGCCATGGAATAAATACCCATCGAAATATTAAGCTGCAGCCATCTTTAAGGACCGTAGTAGCATACAAGAAATGTATCACACACCGTTAGTGATGTGCGGGCCCGGCTCGGCCTGAAAGCCCCGGCTTAGGCCCGGCTTTGGGGGGCTTGGGCTTTGCAAAAGCTCAGGCCGAGCCGTGAGCCCAAGCCAGGTCAAAGCCGCGGCTCGGCTTGGGCTCAACAACGGCTTTCAAGAACAAAATGATCCAAAATTCAATCTAAGCATATTTGTAACGGTGAGCAATCAACGACACGCGCATACCAATGTAAATCAGTACTCCAAGTCGCGCGTGAATTCACCCAGGTTGAGAAGCTCCACCACGCCATTCCCAACACCACGAACGCCATGCGCAAACACCCAGCGCACGTCAGCAACTGCTGATATGGCTCAAACGAGTGCGGACGACAGACGCGAGTAGGAGGAGGGAAGAGGATGAGGAGATCTCGCGAAGGGTGATGCCTGCTAAAAGCTTAGCGGTCCATCGTGAGGAATTTGATGATCTGATGACGGACCTTGTGCAGAATATACTCGTATATGTTGGTGACAAGCTTGAGGCTCTTGAACGGAACGCAAACACCACGGAGTACGAGTTGCCTTGCAGAGGTATTCATAAATTTTTAAATGAGACGAATGCCTGACGTACCAACTTCAACCCAAAATGATGAGGGGCAAATTCGACCGCGCAGACAGTGCCTCTTGCATCAACCAATACACCCATCTTGAGGAACCACATGAAGCAGCCTGAGGAGACCTCTGTTGGATTATCGAATGGAGGGATGTACATGGTTGGTGGATTAGCTGGACTGACCCTGTTTTCATAGTTACATGGTCACAAATATCGAGGCCGATAAGGGACAAAAAGCCGCGGCCTGAGCCGCCGGCTCAGGCTTTTCAACACCTCAAGCCGGGCCCTGGGCCGTGGTCAGGCCCTGACTTGGGCCCGGCTTGGCTCGGCCTAATCAGGCTCGGCTTTGGCCGGCCCACGGCCTGAAGCCGGGCCGTGCACATCACTACACACCGTTGCAAAGTGCTGTCACAGTCATACCAGCCAGCATCAACACCACTGTCTAAGCAATTCTCGAAGCCTGGAGTGAACCGGCGTCGTAACTGAGACCACGTAATTTCTGGCATGACGTTTTTCTTTGTACGCATCCAGCGATGTTGTAGGGTACCTTGCAGTGTCAGGTCGTGCCATTGACGGAGCATCGTGTGCGCATTAGCAATACCAAAGTTCTCCGATCCTGGGTCACTTTGCGTGACCATAGGCATGTCTATAACACAACAACATCAATGGCATTATGGTAAAAAATCATAAAGAAAAACCTACGACCAAGTTCCTGGATGGTATCAAGGTAGTAAGTTAGGATCAGTTGCGGATTCCGGTTCGAGTGCCACACTCGCATCCACATAATGCGCCCAGTAAACGGTTCAATGCCAGTATGTAACGCAAGGCCAAACCTAAGCCACTTGTCATGCTGATCAACAGCAAACAAGTCGTTGACTCCCGCTGCCCAAAACCGTCGTCTCTGGAGCCTACGAGCCTTGCGCTGGCGGACAAGGTCGACCTCGTACTTTGAAAAGTATGCTATCACAATGTTTCTGGTAGGATGAAAGTTTGGTGTGATAGACGACATGATACCACAGATATCACTTACCTCGAAACACTCATGGCATGCTCGTGAAAGAGCAAATTAACCATCTCCCGGGCACCTGCGTTGGGATATGTCTCTCGAAGCTCGATCATAGCTTCGCGAATGCTTTCAACAGTATTACGCTGTTGGCGTGTGCGCAAAAGGCCCATTCCAATACGTATCTTCACGAATTTTGTAAGCCTATAATGAAGTAAGCAAGTACTGTGGACATAAATTAATATGAATGACTTGCCCGAGTCCGTATCGTGATGTATCGTAATGATTTCTCAAGTTCTGGACAATTTGCTTGTCGGTTTGCCGGGTCTTCCATAATCGAAGGATATGCGGAGAAATATCCTCGAGAGGTGCTGTCACAACCCAATAACGAATTAACGCTGGGCAGAGACTAGGACTCAAACAACAGAATAATCACAAAGAGGAAAAGGCAGCAGGTACGTCTCGGATTGCTCACTAGGAGATACAAGAGGTTTGAACTAAAGAACTACTGACTACAAGACACTACCTATATACATATATTGTAACTGAGATCGAAACTGAGTCTGAACTAACTACCAATCAAATAATAAGATGCTATCGTACGATTCTATATATAACTTATGATGTCATGACATGTGCTGCAGCAACCGTAAGGTTCTGGAACATTCTGTCAGGGTCGTTTGGAATAAAGTTTAGTCCGGCATACTCCGATAAGTCACGTGACTCATTCATAGGTTCTTTAGATAACTCTACAATAGACGCCGTTGTTGGGACATCTTCAACTATAAATACTTTCTTAGTAACAGGCGCTGTGACTGGGCGCTTAAAGGACTTAGAATTTAGGAACGTATAATGGTTCGTATTTGGAACTCGTGACAGGTGCTAGAGTGCAATGTCAGCACATTGGACAATGTCGATTACGGGTAGTACATGTAGTACATACAGGATGGTTTATTCTGGTTCGGCATTGAGCTTTGAGCGTACTGGTGCAGCTGCTGACAGTGGGTGGGATATGGGAGGAATTTGACGCAAGCTACATATACACCTCTAACCCGGTGGAGGTCGAATCCGACCGCACTGTGATACCATATTCAGTAAGTACATGGCAATCAGGATGGAGCTCACCAAGTACCATGCCAGGTGGACAACAGGTTACGGTTTGGGTAGAATTCGGAACGTTCTACCGCACTGTGACACCATATTAAGACGTGGGTAGTCAAAGAGGTTAAAGACTTACTGCATTGAACGGATTTTCAAGAAGAATGATAATGACAACAGGAGAGAACTGACCTGCATCCAGGATTCCAACCGGTGCACAACCTGCCCACCCGCTCCTATGCCTTGAATCGGCAGAACTTGCACCCAGAATTCCAACGGCGAGAATAGAGTCGCACGAACATGCTGATATCTTTGGCTTGCTTTGGCTTGAATCAGCAGAATGAAGATAAGGGAGTATGAGGAGAGGTAAGGTGCGAAGCTAATGTAGACGATGGCTGCAGCCGCCTTACCCATCATCCGTGCTGCCAAGGACCGCGGATCAAAGCTTTCCATTAGGTGGCTCAAAGTAGCTGCCTAACCTCGCCTGTGCCTAACTCTGCCTAACCTAGGCGTATGAGATAAGCAAGCAGCAACATCTGCTTGCTTATCTCATACGCCTAGGTTAGGCAGAGTTAGGCACAGGCGAGGTTAGGCAGCTACTTTGAGCCACCTAATGGAAAGCTTTGATCCGCGGTCTAATGATGTCAATCGCAACTAATCAATTAGCACTGTAGCCCAAGCACCCTCCGACTCGGAGGAGGCTCTATCTATGAGACTTGGGGGAGGCTCTATCTACGAGGCCCTTGGTTGTTCACATTCATGTGGTTGAATGGCCGCATGGCATTGGCCACATGGCGTCAGATATATAATCTGTCTACTTAGGCTAGTAATTTCAAACTGCTTTTCCTTCACCGTGTCTCACCGTGTCTCTACCATGCCTGAGTTCGAGCTCATCTCTCAATTCACAGAAGATGCGTTTGCTGCAGAAGATCGTGTTTGTGAACGCCCTGTTTGTCGAGCAAGGATTGCAAAAGGTGATCCTTGCTTCTATGTTGGTACCGTCGACCCAGGCAAACCTGGCCGCTATGTCTGTGGTCCATGCCATTCCCACTATCTAACCATGCCAGCCACGTCTGTGAGACCCACTGGTAGATCCGTTCCACAGCCGCAGCTCTCCCATACCTTCCCTGACCCACGCACGATCCGGCAAACTGTCAATGCTGCACAGAGGAAATGTACGTTTGTCGTTGATTACTGTTTGTGTCGTGCACTAGATCTGACCGAGACTCATACACACAGCAACAGTTAACCCCCCTCCTGTTATTGCATTTGGTCGTGGCATTCGTCCGCCGTCAATGACCCATTCCACTGGGCCAGACATCGCTATCCCATCGTCATGGGGGCAGCCGAGTCGCTCCTCAGGCTCAGGCTATTCGGTAAATCATGTGCAGTATGGCACCGAGCGTGAGCGTTGGTCAAAACTCTCATATGCACTTCCACCAATGGAAACCATCACACTCGACATTTCGGCAGTCCATGAGGTCGGTGCACGGAGGAAAGGACATTGGGTTGCAATTGGGGTTTGTTTTCATTATCACTCGTTCGACCAGCATGTCACTCACTCGTCAATCATCATAGAATATCCGAGAAGGCAAAAAAGATGTTGACGCACGCATTGATGCTCCTGGGCTCATGGATATTGCATTCGACACTATCCTTCCTAAGATTTTGACTTTCGGTGCAGGATTCCCGTGGCGTATCGAGGAGTTTGTTGTCTGAGATGCAGTATGGGTTGACCTCTCTACGCACAAGGCCTCGGTCCCATATTTCATCTCACAATGCATGGTCCCAAGCAAGAAAGGATCGAAGGCACCCACATTCAAGACCAAGCAATTTGCGCTGATGCTCGTCGTTCCGGAGGCTCAATGGAATGAGTATGAGGAATGGGTAGAAAAAGCGGAGGAGATAAGACAGGTCACCGCTCGTCAAGTTCAAGTTCAACATCGAGTAGAAACAACGGAGAACGTAAGTTTGTTTTACACCTGGCAGCATTTCAGATGATTCATATCTATGCTACAGGTCTCTACTGTATTGCAAAGCGCCTCCGCGTCCACTCAAAATCTTACATCGTCAAGTGCCTTCGAGTCTACCAAACGGTCCCACAGGAACAATTTGAGCACCACCACCACATCTTCATCACTGCCTCACAAAAAGCTTGCAGTTGCGCCACCCAAAGCGCTGTTTAGCTCGCCTGATCGCAGCGACCTAAAGGAAGCACTGCGGAGTGGAGGCAGTGCAACAAACTTTGATGTTGCACAAGGTGAGTTTGGTGTCCTGTTCACAGTGGTGCACTGTTAACCGTTTCTCTACTGTTTTTCTTGCAGTGCTTGGCACATACACTGAGAACGTTCATTTCTATGGGATCCCCACTCGTCCGCTTGCAGATATCCTTAAGAATCTCAATTATCGTTCTTTTAAGGTAGAACCAGCGCAGGCGATAATCGGACAGCTGACAGTCAATTCATCTACGCGCAGCATGCTGGGGGCTGGTGGATTTAAGACTGCTCATCCTGGTTGGCTTTCTCTCACTCCTCTTGTTAAAAGTGGGCTAGGATCGGTTCCTGGTCAAAATGTTGCAGTGAAGCGACCGTTTCATAAGGTGTTTCCATCCGCCTCAAGCCTTATGTACAAAATAGGTCGTTTTTCGTCAATCGACGAAATAGCCAAGCTTGGCAAGGAAGCAAACGTTTTATATTGGGCTCATTCTCTCCTACAGCTCACATATGCCTTCATCGATCACTGTATTGCCTCCTCTGAGGAACCTCCGCCATTTGACATCCCTCGTGTGCGCTTTGTTGACGCTGGCTTGGCGATCTCTTACTCTCAACGTGATTCCAAACCTACGAAGGCAGGCTCAAAAACAGGCTCGTCGTGTGTGGGATATCTTGTAGAGGAGCTTATTGAAGGCGGGCCAGACGTTTTTATGAAGTTCATTCACAACATGGACTCTAATCCTCTGCTCGATCACGATGATTATGGCTATGAAGTAGCTTCGTTCTTTTCTTTCACGCAACACGTGCAGTATGTAAAGACGGGTGGCTTGGCCTTCATCTCAGACTATCAAGGTAATTCATTGCTTTGCAGCTCGATACACTACTGACTCGGATATCCTGATAGGAAGCACAGAGCTGCTGACGGACCCGCAGATCCTAACAGACCCGTGCGTCAATATGTCATTCCATGCTCGCTTATATAATTTTTTGATTAGGTCAGTTGGTCAAGGGAAGGATCTTTTTGGCGAGGGGAATATGGAATGCACGGTTAGCATGTTCGAGAAACAGCACAAATGCAATGAGTTTTGTGAGTGGCCAGGGTTTGGATTGGTGCCCTTCGCCACGACAACAGAAGACGAAAGCACAGAGGAGACGGAAGCTGGAGAAGCCGGATGTAGGGAAGATGGTCCAATTGCCTCTTAGAATATTATCTGAACGTTCTTGCACGGTATTTCTTGGACTGTACAACAAAACAAACTTCTTACGGTGTACGGGGTACTCGAGAAGCTCCTGCCTTATATAGTACGATTTTGGCTGACAAATAGAGCGCGGTGGTCCTGCTTTCCATAACATATAGAGTTACAACGTCTCTATCAGTCAAAAGTCGACTGGAGAGGCCATTGTATCCGAGAGACCGGCTCTGCTCTGCTTTCATCCATACCATACTGTTCTTCGGCCATGACAACTTGTCAAAAAACGTCTCTGCTCGAAGTCCTTTCAAATTTTCTTCAAGATCATTCCCCTCCAGCTCACAGAGACTTTCATCATCGGACCATTCATTTCCTGAAGGTGAGTCGGATTCATGCTCATCATCCGGCTGATGGAAATCAATACCCCCAGTGTAACCACAGTCGGAGAGATTGTCGAAATCCAAGTCTATTGGACTGAATTCTGTGCCGAGCGCTTCGGGTATGCCTGCGGACTGCGCTGATGGTGGTGAAAGAGCTTGTACAGAGGAACATGCAGAAACCAGAGGCTTATTTTTCCATCGCGCTGCGCGTGCAGCTGCGAGCCATTTGTGATTTTTCGCCATTATGAATAAGAAACAACTGACTTGGATTACTGTACCGAAAAACCGTTTACAATTTTAAAACGAAGTACTAAAACAAGTTAAGGACTCCCGGGAGTGGCATGGTAGTGGCGTATCTGAACGTCGGCATCATCGGCACCCAATTTGGCCACTGCACCACAGTAGTGGTGGCTAAGTGACGCGCACCATAGTAGCGTTCTTGAAGGGTACTTGTAAGCTCACAGGTTGCCTCTTGTTCACGTAATACTTTACTCATGCATCGTCATAGCCCATGACATACTATGTACTAATAAACGTACAGCTTTGTAAACTCCCGATTAAATGCCATAGGACTCGGTCAGCGCAACTGGCCCGTATGATTACAGCACGCTTTGGAACGAAGGACCTGGCAAAAGATATATAAACTGATGACATTTAGAATTGCAAAATCCGAAATTCAGTAACAAAACATGTCTGAAGCGCCTTTCAAGTCCTTTGCTATCGTCGGCGCAGGCCCTCACATCGGGATTCCTATCGTGAAGGTAAGCATTATTATAGTATTATCTTTGAGTGTCGTCCTTAGCCGATGACCTTTGTTAGGCATTCCTGGCCATTGGCACTCCCATTCTCGTCATCGCCCGGCCGACCTCCAAAAACACCTCTGCACTCCCTGACAATGACCCCAACCTGAAGGTTGTACATGCAGACTATACATCTGCATCTGAGGTTTCGGCAATCCTTCGTGAAAACAAAGTGGACGTCCTCATTTCTACCGTTACATTTTTTTTCGGAGGCGTAGTTGTACAGGACGTTCTTGCGGACGCTGCAAAGGAGGCGGGTGTGAAACTCTTTGTACCCAGCGAGTTCGGCGTATCACCGCCAGCAGCCGGTTTGGTTCATGAGAAGCATGCCTTTGCAGGTGAATGATTACAGCCAATGGTAGTACTTTAAGATGTAGACTCATCCTCCGTTCACAGTCTATGCGAAGTCGATTGGATTGCCCACTCTCCGTGTCTATGTAAGTCTTCATTTGTTGGTATTGCTGCAAGCATGACGCACTGAACACGATACATCCATTAGAATGGGTTATTTCATGACTTCGTTCCCTGGCTCACTGCACTCACTGAAACTGGCAAGTTTCATATCGCGAGCAAAGGAGACATGCCGGGATCCTTCACTGCGATATCCGACGTTGCAGGATATGTGGCTCATATTCTTACTACTCAACCACCATCTCGTCTACTTGATGTTGAAGTTCGCATCGAAGGACAACGTGCAACGCTCTCTGAGATTAGTGCCCTATACAAAGGCAGTGTACCTGTGGTATACTGTGATGCCCTTCCTATAGAAGGTGTACTTGCTGCGGACATCCGTACGAGCTACCAGCAGGGCTTTGATGTCGGAAGAGCAAGTTGCGGTTGGAATCCCGATACAAAGACGGATGACGCGGAATTGGCGAGCAAGGACAATTCACTGTGGGAGGGACATCGCTGGTTGACTATTGGGGAAGTTCTTGGGTTGTACTGACATGTATGTGCACGATACCTTGCAAAACTAAGTACACTTCGAGACTTACAGTAGGGGCTTTTCAATCCTATTAGTAGGATCTTTTCTGGAGCACGAAAATGTTTTTGTATCATGTGGAAATGAAGGCAACATTTGGTCGGATTCCTTGTCGATCATAATGATCGTAAGTATGGCTCGTTGTCGCCCCGGCTGCGTATTTGAGTTTGCATAGAAAATTTTCCAGGCCCAAAACGAGACAAAATTATATATCGTCAGAATGAATCAGAAATGCTGGTAGTCGGAACCGGAGCCGAAGTGTAGATGTTACGGGAAGCTCAGTCACAGTGGAGGGCCACTGACAGATGACGAAGGCGTCTTGCGGTGTACAGTAGTTCATGATCATGATCATATAACATTAGCATGTTCATTGCTGCTCTTCAGGCTACGGGTCTATTTAGTCCAACACATACGTATTAACTGGTGTAATGTACTTGTTGTTCACATGACAAGAATATCTACATCTTGGCATACAGAAACGGAGCCTGTCATCACCTTCGCAATGGCGAAATCTAAGCGATCGCAGACTGTATGCTGATACTAGTAGTAAAGACTGAGAGGCAGTAGTCGTCGTCCTGGGCAGGGACAGACAAAATACCGGAGTCCACAGATTTGTGCAGGTTAAGCATCAGCCGAGAAATGAGAGTAACGGACATGCTGGGAGGTATAGTCAAAACGCGATCAATGTTCATCGCACCAACCACTCACCAGCTAGTGAATATACCCAGACCCACATTGCCCCTAATAACCGCCTGGCCAACCGTTAAGAAATACTTAACTTTCACACAAGATGCTCACTGGTCCATACTGATTCAAGTTATGAGCGCTTTGTAACTCCACTAGTAGGATGTCGACTCACGTAGTACATCACAATGTTCGGTATATTACAGAGTGTCATGGCTCTGAAGGAATATATCAATTAGACCCACTCGAATCACGAGTTCACTGACGCCCTCACCCAAAATACATCACACCTATGTTCAGTTTATTCAGTGTTTACAATACGAAAGTAACAAACCATTTACCATCGTGAAACATGACATCAAGAATATTTCTCCTGGTGACCAGACGTAACCGCGACAAACCTCTAGATTTACAGGTCCGATAAACTGTGAGGACAAAGATGAGAGCTTCGAAGGCCAGTATGGCCACCCATGCTAGCCCCAAACCTGCAGATGGATCAAGTCATGACTTCGAGCTGTGTGACTTAGAATTCACTGACGGGCAGATCTGCAAAGACTTTTGAGTATGGTCGCAGAATGGAAGATCATGACGTACATCTCTACTGTGGATGTTGTGAAACAGCCAACTCCTGGCGAGATCGTCAAAGTCCCTGCATACTGTCCAAAGGTTGCCGCCTAGAAACGATCAGTAGACTTCAAATGGAAGAGTCCAAAATTAGATCGAACACGTACAGATACGCCTCCCGCAAGAACAATGAGGATGAATGTAACCCAAATAATCAAGCGTTTGCTACGATTGTAGAGAGCATAAGTGCGGATGATTAATATGACTGAAATTTTTCAGTCTATGAATTCTACTAGTAAAAGAAGTTGAACTTGCCGCAAATGACGAATTGTTGCAGAAAAACAAACAGCTGTCTGGCAATCGCGTATTTCGGACAGCTAAGCGTTTTTTAAACGAAAGAACAATATTCAAGAGTTAGGAGATCAAACCTCTGCGGAGATAAGTTGTGAGCCTGCCACGTATATAATGAGATGATCGAACCTGATCTGGAATGAGCGTGAAATCAACATATAAGCCATAGATATTGCCGACCAGCGCGAGATAGCGGCTGATAAGAAATGACATTGCAGACAGGGTTTTCGGACGACGCCAAATGAAGTTGATTTCGTCTGTGAGGGTTGCCATATGGTCGTACACCATAATACCTAGAACATCGTGTTATCATTCTGAGGACAAAGATAGGAAAACTCCAGTACTGTTTGCCACAAGGATGACGTACAAGTGCCTCGCCCTGGTAAATTGGAAATGTAATGTGTTAAGTCATGATCAGGATACGTACGTGTACCACTTACAGCTGCTGTTTTTCGGTGGCATCCATGCTATGCAACAAAGAAAGGGCGTGGATGATGTCTGGGGCGGTATGCAGAATTATATAATGTATGCAAACTCCGGAGGGGACAAACACGTGCAGTTAGCTCGAAAGATCGTAGACACAGTAATAGATCTTCCTCGGTCACATCAATGACCAGTGAGTCACAAGCGCATAGCTAGATGATTCATTGATTAGGCTATTTATTGCTGAAACGCAAGGAATCAAGTTCGGGCCGTTCCAGGATCATTATCGCTGGCACAGCGCTGGCAATGCCTGCTATGCGGCATGATGACATGTCGATCTGCGAGAACAAAGTTATGGACATTAACGTTCCACGTTGAACTTCGAAACTTCAGTACGCGCCTTGCGTCCTTACCTGGCGTGGAGTTACGGACAAAGTGGTGAATATAACATCCGAGATGCTTGTTACAGGCCGGTTTCAGCCCATTCTTCCATTTCAGGCAGCGGCGGCTCTAGTTCTTGAATTTGCATCGATACCATTATGTCCCTTTCGTAGCAGATAACGCAGTAAATATGGGGTCGCTCCAAACCAGGCTCAAATTTAGAAACACGTACTCAAGGAAGACAACATCGATGGATCTTCTGGTTCCTCGTGCGAGTTGGTTTGTTCCTTCGGCGATAAGCCTCAGACTGTTATTGGTGCACGTATCATACCGATATTGCCATCGTGCTAATCTTAGCGCACCCGTTTACGCTCGAAGTCTCTCGTACACAAAGTGTGGTGGCACGGCCAAACCGCGACGCTGACAAAGTATTATATTTGAAGGACAGTATTGTGCAGGTAGATATGGGTCCATGGGTACTGCCCATGGGTGGCGATAAATTTATGCCATCCATCGTAGTAAGTGATGATTGGCTGCCTCTGAAAATAAAAGCGGTGCACACGGTGATGATCGGATGCATCGAAATGGCTTTCATAGATTATGGATCATGCGGAAATGGCGATGCATTTCATTTCTGATGTATCCAATTCTGATTGCGGCTGATCAACCAAACTCTTCAACTGAGCAAAAAGCTTGACTTTAGCAGGGAGCTGTACAAAGTATCAAAAATCAAGTAAATTTATGAAATGACATTGTAATCCTGACCTGATATTGTGTTACAAGGCCTGACGTGCTAGGAACCACGAATAATAACGTTTCGCTTATGTTCGAAGAGGTATCGCTGACAGGATCTGCGATAGTCGGATAGCATAGCTTGAATGGTTGTAATCCAACGTTCTTCTCTGACGCCCAGGATGCTTTTGACGCGCCTGACGATCCAGAGGCCTTGGATGGTCCGGTCGTCATCTGCAAAAGTGCCTTTTGGAGTATCTCCCAGTTGGATATACCGACGAGACAGAGAAATCTAGGGCGGTGGAGTGCGAGCTTGCTGAGTAGGATAGGTACAGACGAGACACGCTCTGAACAGGACAGTTCTGATGCCTGAGATTTACACATTAGCACGCAGTTGAAAGACGAGTACTGTGCCAACCTCCGAGGATGGTCTGTCAACGAGATCTGTCTACGATTGAAATACGTCAGTTTGGGTAGTAGACATAGTGAATATTTTAAGCTGACTAAACCAATATTGAATGTTTTTGGTAAGGAAGAATCCTCCGAGGGTGGCAGTAGCCTAGGTGTAAACCCTAAGAATTCTATAATCAAGAACTTCTCTTGGTCATCGATGGAGACGACATACCAGATTGGTGAAGACACTTCCAGAAATGATTCGACGGGTGGGCAAAGTGGTGTCCTCTCTTGGCGGACATACAACCTGGACTAAGAATGATATGGATGTTACAATGGCCCTATCAGAAGCTTGCATGATGCAAAAGATACTCAGCCTACTTGATTCCACAGAAAACGACTACACAGAACACCTTAGTCAAAATTTGGAATGATGAGTTTATTACACACCGTCGAGCCCGTAGGCTAGATAATCTGTGAGGGGTGATAAATGGGCATACGCTTCCGGTGGAGCATATCCGCGCTTGAGCTTTTTGGCGGCATTCTTGGACAGAATTGCATTGGGTGCCTTTCGCTTACCCTTTCCAGGTGATGTTGAATTATTCAAGGCATCGACGTGGCACTTGACTTCTGGCTTTCGAGATTTCACGGTCGCAGCAACTCTGAAGGAACGTCGCAAGGTTGGTAGCTCGGAACTATGGACCGTAGCGACTGCGGAATCGAGCTGTGGTTGGCATGGGGTTGAGATTAATGTAAATTTGGAAATAGATTCCCTGAATTTCTCTGTAACGGACGCGTTTTCGTCATCGCGGTCTTTCTCGAAAGACATCTGGAGCAATCCCTGGAAGAGGAGCCTCAAGCTTAAGTGACGAGTGGCTCGTGAGAACTTTATAGCGGAGAACTTTATAGCGGAGAACTATTCGATCGTTGCGCAAACAGTCGTTCAACATTTTGGTTATGTACGAGCTAGTTCTCTTTGCAGACTCCGTAAAGCAGAATTAATGGACCGCGGACCCGTTCGGCGGTATTGTATGCAAGAACACTTCCATGGACATCTAAACGCCCAGCGTCGCGCATGGCCGTCGCCCACGCCAAATTCAGAAATGCACTCAGCAGTTTTGGAGTCTGGAGCCCCAGCTGCTTGATCGCACAGCCGAGGTATCCCGAAAGATTACTTCACCTGTCTCTGTGTGTACGGATGCGTCACTTTCGCAGTAAGTTCCAGAGACAACATCTCAACGTCGCGACCATTATCCATCATAGTTCATACCTTTGATCATAGGTTCGTGCACCCTCAGGCTTTGACAGGCCGCTAGGCAAAGAATCTGGCCCTGCCAATGCCGTGCTGCTGGATAACGGCAAGATGTCGATATGGCTTTTTTTAAGTGTGGAGAGTCGATGGAATCCTGTGCAAGATTATCGCATAATGCTGCGCCCCTGCATTGAGCGGTCCGAGGTCCTCATACATATGATGTCTTATACCGGCGCAGCAGGCATCGACAACTCAAGATTGAAGAAGTCTATGACTCAGTAGATTGTCGTTTCCAAAAGCGAACTCCACATGACCTGCTACAAAGAAAGTTATTCGATCCGATTTGATTCAAATCAAGTAGTTCTCATCCCATGTCCCGGTTCATAGTCGGCGATAACATAGAAGTCGCTGAGAGAGTTGCATCATGAGGTCGGCACGAGGCAACGTGTTCGCCCTAGGTTCCATGCCGATGCTAATGTATGATTATGTATATTTGAAACGGAGCCTTTGTATCGAACCATGCGACTAAAGTCGAACAAACAAAGCCACTCCTTCAAGGTTTCACGCTTTATTGTTTAGTTATCAGTTTCTCTCTTCTACTTGTACTTCAATCATGCCACCAAAAGCAGCACCCGGACAGCCTCGTGGAGGCGGTGTAGGCGGTGTAGGCGGCGGCGGCGGCGGCGGCGGCAGAGGTGGTCGTGGCGGTGGTCGCGGCGGCCCTCGCGGTGGACCACCTCCTCGCGGCGGCCCAGCTGGGGGAAGAACAGTTCATGCTCCCACTGGTCCCGCCGCTCTGCCTGGAAGCCATGTTCAGGCCGTGGGGGTAAAACGACCTGGATATGGAACGGCAGGCAGAGCAGTGACCGTATTCTCCAACTTCTTCAAGATAAGTCTCCCAGAAAGCGTTATCCATCACTACGACGGTTGGTATTGGCTCTTTTCAAATCTCGTCTCTTTGTCTGATTTCATCCATTTTTCTTTTTTTACGATACAGTGGGTAAGTGCTGAAGTTAATGATTCTCTGTGTGACTTGCTGTTGATAATCGCATCGATCTATGTGATCAGTGATCTCGCCTGATGAGAAGGTACTTCCAGCACGCTTAAACATGGACTTGATCCATCACCTTCAAACTATCGATGCCGTCGATGTCTTTACACCCCGGGCCGTCTACGATGGGCGAAAGAACCTCTTCGCCCCCAGGGAACTGCCTTTCGGTCCACAGAACAGCCAAGAGGTGTGCGCATCCGATATGCTACTATACTCATCACTTACATCTATGTAGTTTGATGTATGCCTCTCCGATGACCCCAATCGCGGAAGCCCAGGAGAGAACACGGGGGGCCGCGGTCCCAAGGTGTACAAGATCAGACTGACGAAAGTCGCACAAATCAACCCTGAGTAGGTTATTTTACCTTTCTAAACGCCACATTACTGGAATTTGCCTTCGTTAGAGTCCTACAACGCTTTATTCTTGGACAGCAGTCACATGACAACAGTGTTTTGACCGCCTTGACGGTAGGTATTTTTGTAAGGGATGCTCGAATCGATGATTGACGTCGAAACAGGCATTGAATGTTGTCGTCCGTATGGAACCGACCATGAAGTACCCCTTTAATGTTCGGTCATTCTTCACCGACCGGGAGACTAAGGATATCGGTTCCGGCCTTGTCTTATGGCGTGGATACTTCCAATCAGTGAGGCCCGCAATCGGACAACTGCTCGTGAACGTTGATATCTCGACTGGAACGATGTATAAGTCTGGAGCACTGATGGATGTCTGTCTCGAGTTTTTAGGTAGACCTGGGCAACACGCGTTGCTCAGCCCGCGAAGCGGTTTGCCCGATCGTGAGCGAATCCGCTTGCAACGTTTTATTTCAGGCATCCGAGTTAAAACAACATACGCCGGGGAAAACAAAACCCCCCGCGTCGTCAAGAAATTGAGCAGCGCAGGCGCTGCAGATTTAAGTTTCACCTTGCGGGATGGAACTAGTAGGACCGTGGCTCAGTATTTCCAAACGATCCTGAACCGTCCTCTGAGGTTCCCGAATAATCTTTGCATTGAGGTATGTCTGTTCGCAGGGGGTCTTGAAACATCTTATCGGGATTTGTAGGTTGGCAGTGGTGCCTTGATCCCTGTGGAACTATGCACGATTCCACCAGGTCAAATCATGCGGAAGCAGGTTCCACCTGAGAAAACAAAGGACGTTCTGGAATTCGCTACAAAGCGACCTGAAGCCCGCCTCGCTAGTATTACAAACGGTCTTTCGGTATGACCTTCGTCATTTACAGCGCGTTATACTCAGCAGTCTTGTTAGGTCCTTCAATATGGTCAGTCGGAATACGTGCGCCAGTTCGGCATGCACGTCGAAGATACTACTGGACCACTTACCGTAATGGCGCGGGTCTTGCAACCGCCGAAACTGAAGTACGGCCCAGGTAGTGCACAGCCGACCATTGTCAGTATTATAGTTTGTTTGCATTGCTGCGTACTGATCTTCTCCTGTTCTTTAGACACCAAGTAACGGCGCGTGGAATATGTAAGTGTTGTCATACGATATCTCTTCGTTGCTCATAGGTTTCCAGGATCGATAAACGATTCTTCAGACCTGCAGCTATTGACAGGTGGATCGTGGTAGTTTACGAGAGGCAGCAGCGGTTTAACCCACAGGCTGCACAAGACATGATCGATGGCATGTTGAGGAGTTTCAGAGACGTTGGTCAGTGGCTCATATGATAATATATCAGGTCAAATTTTGACACATTCGAACAGGTATCCGTATCACCGACGATAAGCCGATGGTAACTTGGCAAAACGGTCAAGGCCGGATTGCGGACGTAAGTGGTGTTCTGCAAAGACTGCTTGAATCTGACTCGAACATCTACTTCAGCAACTGCGTGCCGCTGGCACTGAGTGTTTCCAAAGGACGAAACAGCGCCCACAACTCATCGTTGTAGTGCTTCCCGAGAACGGCAATGACATTTACACTGCGGTTAAACAGTAAGTTCCTTGGCCTTGTGTTGTATCAATGACTCATGACCTTCTGTATAGTTTCGGGGACATTACAGTAAGATTGCTTTATGGACCCGTTATATGACCTCTGAAATTATGACTTTAGGTCGGTGTTGCGACCCAATGCCTAAAGAGTCAGAAGTGCTTCCGTGCAAAACCGCAATATTACGCGAACGTCTGCCTTAAGTACGTAATTGTTAATCGAACACTAAATTTCGTTTTGATGTTTTACTCCTTCAGGGTCAACGTTAAGCTGGGTGGTATCAATACTATTCCAGATCCTCAGTCTGTCTCTGTTCTTACCGATCCTCGTAACCCCACCATCGTCATGGGTAAGCCCCATTGTTGATTTTTTCAATCTTAAAGTCAAACAGTTTACCTACCAGGTGCCGACGTGATTCATCCTGCGCCTGGCTCTGATGGGCGTCCTTCATTCACGGCACTCGTCGGCAACGTTGATTCTGATACCGCGAAATACATCGCTACAAGCCGTGTTCAAGCCTCTCGGGTTGAGATCATCGAAGATCTCCAGGACATGGCAAAGGTGAGCATTTTTTCCGTATAACTTGCTTTCACTAATTGCGCACTCTTAGCACGTCCTGAGTATGTACATGAAGTATCGCCAGTTCGCGGAGAAGAAGACGGGGAATCTTGCCCCCACGCGTCTCATCTTCTACAGAGGTTCGTTGCAGAAGCCATTCATACCCTTTCCATATGCTGAGCATACAACGTAGATGGTGTTTCTGAAGGTCAATTCAAGCAAGTTCTTGATTCTGAACTTAAGGCGATCAAAGGCAAGTTCGTGTTACTTTTGGGACTGTCGAAATCTGACAACCTATTCAGACGCTTGCGCGGAGTTGAAGATCAACCCAAAGATCACAATCATCGTGGTTGCGAAACGTCACCACGTTCGCTTCTTCCCATCTGGCTCAGGGTCGAATGAACAGGATAAGAGCGGCAACTGCCTCGCAGGCACTGTTGTCGACCAGGTTGTTGCCCACCCCACGGAATTCGATTGGTATCTGCAGAGCCACGGCGGTCTGCTCGGTACGAGTCGCCCCGCGCACTACAATGTTCTCTACGATGAGAACGAATTTAGGTGACTCACCTGCAAGTTCCTATGTGGTGGATTGTATGCTGACAATGGCTATGCATCTAGCGCCGATGGTTTGCAATCTCTTTCTTTCGCTTTGTGCCATGTGTATGCACGGTCAACTCGCTCTGTTTCAATCCCCGCCCCTGTGTACTGTAAGTCCATGTCCAAGGCGCTCGCCGGCAACGACGTGACTGAACTATTCATCAGATGCAGATATTGTCTGCTCACGCGCAAAGAATCACTACGACCCTCAAGGGAATGTTGATTTCTCTGATTCTGCGACACAGCTCGACACAGCTCAGGCTGAGGGCGCCTTGGAGGCGTACAAACGTGGATTCAAGCCCTTACATGCCAACATGGCAAGTTTGATGTACTTCTCTTGAACACTGTTGCTTTACCTACTTAATCACCTCGAAGCAAATAACGGAATCTTTTCTTTTCTGTGACCGTGTATGATCCAGTTCTTCTAACTAGTAGTGTCTCATGATAACCCCACCTCTGTAAAAAATACGTACGTTGCACGAATACCATTGGGACCTGTATTGCTTGACGTATTATGTTCGGACTGATGACTGTAACGCTGCGATATTCGTCGCACACAAGCGCTGGGCAAGAGCGCTTAAGTGAAGCTAGTGTTTTTACAATACAGGGTGGTAGTGAGACGATGAGACACGACGACCTGAAGCCCTTATACGATACCATTAATACGCGCAACGAGAAGAAATGGTAAATGGTTAGATCGAAATGATCGGCGAAATCAAAGAGAGAATTCGAAAGAAATGTATCCACAATGTACCTTGATGACGTAGACCGTAGAATTTAGTGAAGACGCAACCCAGTAAAGCTTTGGACTCAATTTCTGCACGTCAAGTCTTACTACCAGCGTCCGTCGTACACGAGTCACCCCCCGAAGCATAGGAAAGAAGTTGATCATCCGCCCCGTGAGGCCATGGTTTTGCCCTATAGCCAAACCGACGTCAGAGTCCTCCGCAGCTTGCTCTTTGTGCGTATGGTCACAAGGTTAGGTGTCGTAACCTTGTGCCAACCAGCATATGGGTTACGAGGGTCTGGGCGAAGCAACACACAAAGATGCTCCTGCTCCGGCTGAAGAATGCCATCTCCACTGGTATCGTAGCACCAGTAATCCACGACTCCCGCAGAATAGTTGGAGTACGCGTCGGTTTGGACGTCATCGGTGTCAATCTTCTCGTAAACGGTCACCTCTTGTTGTGACAAGTCGACAAGGAACACTTGAATTTGTAACCCGCGCTTGGTCATAACGATGTTCCGATCGCCGCGCCACACTGTGGATGGCAGAAGAGCGTCGTTGCTATCCACAGGATTAAGGGGACGGTAACCTCTCGGCGATTCTGGGAATGCAGGGCTGTCGGAAGAACTTGGTCCTGCCCAAGCGAAGATCTGCCATTGATCGCACTTGAGGATGATCGCCTCCATCAGTCTGTAAAACGCCCGTTTCCCCTCTCCATATGCTACCATCATGCTCACGTCGAAGATTCCGATGAGGGAGTAAGCGACATCTTCGATGCGTGTAGTTGTCCGAGTAGAGGCCCACATCATCTTTTCATGGACGTTGCGTATGCCTGGCTGGAAATGGCGTAGGTCGTCGAGAGGTATCCTCGTGGCACGCGAGAGCACACCCATGACCTCTAAATTTTCCTTGTCATTGAGGTTACTGGTAAGCGGCTCCCAGTTTCTGACGTAAAACTTCATCCTCCATGGCGCAAGCAGCTCTTGCAGAGTCCACCCGCGGGTGAACCATACATCTTCGTGAAGATCATCGACCGACGTGCTATCAGCGAGGTATGCGATGCAGACATAGGCATCACGATACCACTTAAACATCGACCGGATGGCCTCTTCGAGCTCGGTGCTGCTGTCCTTGTTGATGCAGCATGTATCGGACCATGCCAATCGGCACCCGAACTCGTTGGCTTTCTCGCAGAACTTCACGAGTTTTTCATAACCGTACGGTCTAAAAGATTTCAAGATGTCGGAGAAGGTGGGTTCGCCGGTGTCTAGCCAACGGTGCGAGAGGACAGCGAATTTCAGAGTATCCTTGACGATATCTCTGATTGCGTCCTCCCTCTCAGCTGTAGGGCATGATTCCCTCAAATCGACAAGACGACTGTGGATAGCCTCCTCCGTGATCAAGGCAACCTCTTTGCGGAACATTTGCTTCACTTCATTGCGGCCGACAAGTCTTTTGTCTGGCACGTAAATGAGGTACGTGGGCAGTTCATTTTGCACATATGTACTGAATATGCGCATAACCTCGGGAATTGCAGACTTAGTGGAAGAGTTCTATCATGAACCATGAGCCAGGTGTGACAAAGTGAGAAGCAACACTAACCGGGAGATCTGGGCCACTCCTATCGTTGGGGTTTTTGGGTGGAAGGTTGACTCTAAGGCCTTTGATGCCCAGCGTAGGCGGCTAGCAGAAGGTTAGAAATGTAACACCAGCCGACACAACCTCGTACAGTTATCTGTCCCTGAGGAAAAATATCGCGGACATCATCGATGACCTCTCGCTTCAACTTGTGGAATTTTGCCTTTCAAAATACATTTCTCCATAAGACAGTGTAATTTCCACTTCAGCAACGTTACCCTCACCTTGAGTGCCATTTGGTCATTGTCCTCCATGGTGATATCCATCACCTGGTGCACAAGGTCTTCGAAGAAGTTGCCCATTTCAGTCGAACTGAGGCGAGCGGTCTGGTGAAGGTTCTAAGAAAGAAAGGGAACGATGGTCACGTCGATGAAAGAGGTTTCACTCCTCGTTATATAGCACAGGTTTTCTGTGATCCTGTGTATGTAGTGCAAACCATAACCCTCAACCCGTGATGTACCGTGCTGCAGCATCGCTTGAGCATCGCATTGAGTTTCGAAGATTTGCTCATTGCGGTGAGCTTCGAATGGGCCTGCTGGAAACTTTATCCAGAACCCCTGAGTTACATATTTTGGGGACGGCATATTGCACAGATAGCTCTGACCAGTACATATTAGTTTGGAATCAAGTTGCGTCCTTCAGTGATCGTCACATTGCAACGTACCTTAGAAGTCACTGCCTCACTGCTGTATGCGGTTATGCCCCAGATCTCCTATAGCTTTGGGCACGAACCCCAAAACGTGTCAAAACTGAGCTAGTCGTTTCGAGATCTGCGCTGGGCACTGTATGGTAGTGATTACGAGATGGAAGTAGAAGATGGTCCATTAAACTGAGTTCCGGTCCTTAACATATGTCAAGTGTTCTTAGCACGCGCATCGGTCAGATTCTTGCGCGATCTCCACTGGCATAAACAGCACAAACCCAATTTTCCCTTCACGAAGGTAGATAACGCTCTCGTAACTTGTTTAGCGAGTCGTCAAGCGTTCTCTCGGACTAAGATGCAAGCTCAAAGCATCTAAAAAAACACTGATATCATAGCATAAATCCCATCCACAGAACAATATAAGTATCCATACATGATAAATGTAGATGTGCATACCAAAAAATAAAGCACACTGTTGTTTACACTCCCAATCACGACTGAGCAGCCTCTCGGCTAGCGAGGAACACACCCATCTCTCTCGTTTTCCCTCTTGCGCTCGACAGTCCAACGCTTGGAAATCCCCGTACATCCTCTCCCTCAATGGCGTGCCCCATGCGCTCATGGGGGACAGGGAATGCAGCAACGGCTGGAGACACAGAAATGGACGGTGCGGGAGTATAAGGTGCCGTGGACTGTGATGCTGTTGAAGACGAGAGGGGCGAGAAGCGTTTTGACGTGCGGTGTTTTGACTTTTTGGCTGAGTTGGGCAGCTGCATTTCGGTCTGTGGGTATGACGGTGGGACAGCTTGTGCCAGCTCAGGCTGATGATGGTTGTAATGTAAATTTGCATCTCCGTTGGAGACCGACGCAGATGTCCGAGAGCGAGAATCTGAACCCGAACCACTCCAAACAGAATGGCGTTTCTTGCGGGTGTACAACTCCCCGCCAAGGTCAGCATCGTCGACATCCTCAGAGCCTTCTCCTTCTCCTCCTACGGCTGACAATTCTTCTTGTCCCCGCACAAATGGCCCAAATTCACTGGCTGGCAGCGAGGGTATCGCGGATTCCCCACTGCCTTGGAACCCCTCGAAACCACTCTCTTTGACAAGAGAGTTACCATTGAGTGAGAGTAAAGTAGACATGCGCTCTCGCTCCTTGCGCTCCCTGCGCCGTGCCTTCCTCTCTGCCTTCCGCTGTGCTTCTTCATCACGTCTATGCTGCTCGGCTTCTGCACGGTCTGGAGACGACAGGCGAGCAATAGTCGATGCATCCAGCGGTGCTGCATCCGAGTCTAGCGTGGATGATGATGCAGTGCCAAGTGCTCTCCTCCTCCATCCTCGTTCGTCTTCATCGTCCGAAAGGTAAATCGGCGGGCGGCCGAATAACGTGTACCCAAAGAGTGTCAGCGAGAATGCAGGGCGCTTTCGAGGCTTTCTCCGGCCAGCACCGATGTTTGAGTGCAGAGAGAGCGTTTCTATTTCTGTGTTTGTGTCACGCAAGAGCCCTTCGAGTTCGTTTGATGGCGACCTATGGGTTCTGGCATCGCTATGGGCATTATCATTGGAGTTGACAGGCGCTATGCTACTAAAGCATGGCATGCACGAGGCCAAAGCAGCTCGTATGCTGTCCTTGTAGGAGAAATTGTCCACAGCCATGAGTTTGATTCAGACAGTTGCGGTGACAGTGTGAGGGTATAATTTTCCGGTATAACGCCAGCGCAATGTGTGTAAGTCAACAAATAGGTTCCGCCGAGAGGTCGTGGTCATAGTCGTAACAACTCCGGCCTGCCACAGGCCCAGAAAAGCACAAACACGTGTAACGCCGAATTTGACCTCAATTATTGATTCAAAACGGTGAGAACACCGCCGTTAACTTCAAAACAAGTCGAATAGAAAAGTACAGCTGTTCTTGTATAGTAAGTACTTCTCATTCAACTAAGCTGTGAGTACATTATACAAGGCGACACTCGAACTTCAAGCCATCCATGCGAAGAGAACAGAAGAGAAACATCACTCCATACCAGCCGAATCAGGGTCGAGCAAGCTGTTACTTGGGGTTAGCTCTGCCAATGAAATGCACATGAAAAGCTCACCTATACTGTTTCATTAGGGAACACTCACCACCGTTCTCCAGATCAATGTTGTACGAGTAGAAATAGCCCTCAGACGAGATGACCATGACCTGTGGTAGTGTTCTGTACTAAATATGAGAAAACTACGGCAGGAGCAAAGAAACGTATTTGATCATACCCGCTGAGCGCAACAATGCATCTTGCTCCACTTGTCGGCAGCCGCAGGAATGCAAAGTCACGAGATGGTTCCCACATCTCGGTCAATGTATTAGGGAGATAGCCCCCAACTGAATGCGACAGACTCTTGGTCATTTGCAACGACTTGCGACGAAGACTCAAGCTAGACAACATCAGAAATAAATTTTAGACTGCGAAAGAATACAATCAACGTACGAAACACCGCTCTTCTTGCGTTCGTCTGCGAATGCTTCATACCCTCCATCCATCCCTGCGGACCCCTCCCTGCCGTCAATGGACTCCGGCGGGCTAGACAGGGCATCATTCTTCTTACTGGACGAGGACGAAGAAGCTTTTTGATGGCCAAGTTTGAAGATGTGTACCGTGTCATGTGCCGAGCTGACAGCAAGCAAAGATGACACCACATTGAAGTTAATCGAATATATTCGTGCCTCGCGTGTCCCCCGACGAAATTGGTACAATTTCTCTGCTCCAGGGATGCTCCAAACCCGGATGACAGTGCCCTTGTCGGATGCAGTCGCAAGCATAGTACCTGTTGAATTGATGGAAAGAAAAGAGATTGGTGATTTGTGCGCCTGGATTACATTAGCAACTGTCAATGTTCGTGTGGAGAAGAGGAGAACGTCGCCAGATTGGTGACTGGATGATGGAGCCTGTGACGTAGAAGCCTGACTAGGCGATTGAGTTGTAGGGGAAGGGACAGGAGAAGGATAAGCAAGGTAGGAATTGTCAGCGGATGGTGAGAGGGCACATGTTGCTGGCACAGCTCAGCTGTAGATTGTTGGTGAGCGGTAGGTAGCGCGCTCACCTTCTGGGTTGGGTGTAGTCTCTATGATGTGCAGAAGACGCATGTTGGATATATCATAAATATATATTTCGACTTCCAACACAATGACGAGGGTTTTCCTGTTCAGTTTGACAGAAAGGATGGAGGACGGGAACAACAGTTCGCAGATCATGGATTGTCGCTGTCAGTGTGAAGAGATGTCATTCCGATTTACATAGACACTTAAAGGAATATGCACCTTTGTATTGACAATTTGTAGTTTTCGTGGGCTAGACTGGGGTTGATCAGCGGCACCGACTAGCGCAATGAGTGAAGTGCAGAAGAGCATTTCAACGATGCCACGTGCGCCGTCATCTAAGCATAAGATATTCCTGCCACTTCAGTGTCCACATCACCAGTACAAGACATGACAAAGACGCACTCATCGTGTAGACTCTCCCGAATGGATCACAGTTAGTTATGCTGTACCCCTTCCGAGTTCCAACAGATATGCATCTAAAACGCGGTTCGAGATAGCGCTTCTTTATACGTCTAAGACTTACGAGAAATCTTGGTTGAAGTTAGCGAAGAGCATATTGGCGTTTGACTTCTCTGCCATGGTAGCGGAATGAGGAATGAGGCGTAATGTGCTTTGGTGGCAGCGCTATTACTTGACATTTCAAACAACTACAAACATCATGAAGTTCGTGACGAAATCCCTTGCAGGGCTGTAACACTTGAAGTTCTGACACCTCCTCAAGCTAAAACTTTTGCACTCTTTGGATATGGAGTCGATTCTGTTGATCGATGGAACAGAAGAGGGCGATCTATCTAACAATCCTCAGTCATCCGAATACACATATACCGAACTGCGCGAGCTGGGCTTGCGAATCTACAAAGAAGTCTGGAAACAATTTTACGAATGGGAACCAAGGGAGTGCCGACAAATCATCCACGCTTTGGCCGGCCGGCGGGTCCCCGGAGAAAGGGAAAACTATAATAAGACGATAGATCAGCTACTTGACCCCGGGACTCTTCAAGATTCGGAGATGCGGATCGACTCAGAGAGCCCAAACCAACCTTTGCTGGTAGTGACCCAGTACGATGCCGAGGGTCGAGGCATATCATACCCATTAGAGATAGAGGAAATCTCGGTCGATTCTGCTTTTGAGGCCCACCCTTCTTACGAGTCTTGTCCACCAATCAATCAGAGCATTCAAAAATTGAGAGTGCATGATGCAGCTGCATTCATTCCGTATGGCGATGAGGAGAAATTCCCTGTCATGGAACATCTAGACAACTTTGAGTCGTTCGCATGGGAAGAAGACTTTGATCCAGACTGTAAGCCACGATCAGTTGAACATGCTGAAACCGCCACTAGAGATTGCATCCCCAGCGGAAATGATCCAAATAGAAACTGTCCGCCGACTGCACAACACTTCGAATATCTCGATAACGAACATTGATCGGATGCGCATATTCCCCAAATCACTCCGTGAATCGTACAAAGATGGTCTTCTATGGCAAAGATTTCAGCGGTCAGCTTGCTTGATTCACGTCCTCGTTGGGACGCTCTCATTGTTTTATGCAGCGATTTCCTTCGCTGGCCTGGTGGAACTGAGGATGATATGGAGGGGGCCTGCATCGAGCCTGCACCTGATGAACTCCATAAGAGGTTGTCATCTGTTCTTGCGACATTTTGTCCAAACCTTAATTGTCTGCGAACTCTGTGCACAACCCATAGTAAGTTCCGCTGTAAATTTTCAATCTATTCAATTCATGTGGTCTGCTAGAGCATCCTCAGTTCGGGTCGTTCGGAGGTGGGAGGCCCAAGGTGACAAATCAAAGCATGCGACTCAGCGAAGGAGAGCCCTGCGGTGAAGAATGTTTCCGTCTAACAGACGAATCTTACATGGTAGCCACTGTCGCTGAGCACCCCACAACATTCATTCCTGATCCGTGTGGTCCTTAGGACAAAGTCTATTGGGAGAATGAATCCGACCTAGAGACATTGAGAACAATCTTATCAATATCACCCGATCTATTTCCTTGTCAGCTTGCGGATCTCTGCTTCAAGCCTTGCCGAGAAGTAAACACGTCCACATGTACCCTACGCTGCCAATCTCACTTCTCTCAAGGTCTTTGTTCAGCGATCTCACATATTTCCTGATCATATGTTATATGATGATGACCCTGCAGGCGACGTGGAAAGTCATACAAAGAACAACAAAACAAAGAAAAAGGGCCGAAAGCCTCGTCTCATTTTTGGTACACCAATAATGTTTCTGTTGGGTGACCATGGGTTCTGACTTGCAATCAATCGCAGAAGAAGAATCTGATCATGCAGATTTTATCCCGTAAGTTTCTTTGTATGACCAAACAGATGTAAATCATGGGATACTTATGATGCAGCCTCGAGCCTTGCAAGCATAAGGGTCCCTGTGAAAAAGACTGGTGTGAATGCTACCGTCGGAAACGACACTGTCAACTGGCTTGCCGGTGTGGTGTAAATTGTCCGTATGGTCATGACTCAATTCGTGATACGGGTTAGGTTCTAAATCATTTCAGGTAATCGTCAATATCGCGGTTGCGAGTGCAAACGTTGCCTTTCAAATTGCCCGTGCGTTAAAAACGTTCGAGAATGTTTGCCCGGGATATGTAATAAATGCGATGCAAGGTAGGGTGCAACATTTAAACATTCAGTGAGGTGGGCTGAATTCCAATTTAGAGGTCAGACTATGATATTAACACGTTTACGCGCGTGACTGAGTGCAAGTGAACTTTAATCAGGCGCAACTGACGACCCATGCGTAAACACGAGGCTTCAGCGAAATGATACCAAGGTAAGGACGCCCGTCGTCCACGAATTATACTCACTACTGGTCAGGCGGTCGAGATCAGGCGGGCTAAACATGGCCTAGGAGCTTTCGCGGCGGAAGATATGAAGCCTGGCGATTTCATCGGAGGTGATGCGTTTCTTGGGACATTGGAGTCTAACAGCTCATGTTTCTGCTTAGATTATGTCGGCGGCATTTTGACGAGTGACCATGTTGAAATTCTACAGTACGCCTTCACATTATTGAACACCGACCGAACTTGAGACATCCTCACTTCATGCAGTCATGTCACCGAATATAGCGGTCGCAATTATTTTTTCGAATTCTCAAACGCCAATGGGGACGAGATGCTTGATGCTGCGCCAGTCGGAAATGCTACTCGTTTCCTAAACCACGCGCCCGCCGAAACGGAAACGGACTTGCCTAGGTCTGATGGGACGCCCCGCTCCAACGCGGAACTGGCTAATTGTGTAGCACAAGGTGAGTTTCGACGTGGAGCCTATTTATACCCATCAGCTGAATGATATGCACTCGAGTTCTTCTTGTCAACGGGGAGCATCACATCGGATTTTATACCAGTAAGATTTCCCGATGGTTTACCGAGTCGTTCTACTAATTGCATTATCTGAAGCCAAGGCAGTGGCTCGTGGATCCGAACTTCTCTTGTGCTACGGTAAACAATACTGGTTAAAAACTGGCAAGGGAAACGACCTAGAACCATCAATGGATTGATGGAGCGGGATGAGCATTGGTTCTACAGTATATAGAAGGATTACCATCCAAGATGTTCGTATCAACAATACCTTTACAAGACATGACCAGGAGGCACTCAGTACTCATTACGTAGACTAATTGGTGATACTGTCACTGGCACCCTTTTCAAGTTGGTTTCCAGCGGATTTACACCCAAAACAGCTTGGCTTGGACGAATCGATGCCCTACTCTCAAAAGACGCCAGTTCAATGTGGTCACATGCACTCAGCGAGCGCTACTCTCGATTTTCAAACAACTACAAACAATCATTGGCTCGAAGCACTCAGGTCAGACCAAGTCCACAACTTGAAGGCTTTCCTGAGCAAAAACTCTTGCACTCTTTTGATATGGAGCTGTTTTTGTTGATTGATGGAATGGAAGAAGGCGGTCTATCCGAGCCGCCACTCCAACCTCGGTCATCTGAATACACCGTGATAGTACCGAATTGCACGAGCTGGGCTCACAAATCTACAAAGACTCCTTACGAGTGGAGCGCCAACCACGGTTTTGCAGGGCTGCTGAGAAGTAACAAGTTCACGCGTACCTGCGCTTTCAATATATCATTTCAAGTTCTCTCAAGGTCCTCGTTTAACGACATCACTGCCTTTTGGCGTAACAGTTAAGCGGAAGACAGTCTTGATATATTCCCTTCTAAAACCTTCACCGGTTCACCGATGTTGAGACTGCAGCTGGATGAGGCAGCGTACTCGACGATCCGTAGAGCCTGCATACTGATAAGTACTTGCTAAAGAAAAAACTCGACATAGTTGTGGCGTATGACGAAGTCTTTCAAGTTGTACACGTGTTTGGTGACTTCACCTAATCAAGGCCTACTTCAACGGAAGGGCTAGCGCTAAACGCAGTGAGTGTCACATAATATTCCCTGCAGCCGCATTGCAGCCCTATGTTCTGTAGCATCTGATGTCCGGGTTGATCGGCTGCTCATGCCCAACCGCCGCCGCCCTGCCCTTCATACGTATGCCAGATTCCCGTGGGTGCAGAACATTGTTGAACATTGTCGAGTGAGTCGCACACTATATCTAATTGCGAGTTCAAAGTTGGAGCAGAGACTGGCATTAGGACGCTGAAATCTGTCGAATCTAGTAACAGCATGCGTGATATCTGGATGACGAAGGATAATTTCAGTACTGGCGTCAAGAGAAGGTTTAATGATACTAGTGCTGAGCGCTGAGAATCAACATTTAAAGTGGACGCCTCGCCACTTTCAGATGCCCGAGTGCATGCTCTTTTTTGCAAGGTCTTCTTCCATCTCTGTCCACTACAGCGCAAAAATGCAAACCTCATCATCACGATCCAGTCTCACATCTGTCGATACTAATCCGCCGGCTACCGAGTAAGTGGCAGGCTAGACTGGGTTGGTCGTCATACTGATGGATACACAGGGGATGGAAGGCCAATCCTCATGTCGAGAATGAGAAACCTGTCCTGTCCATCGGGGCCGACCTTCTTGGAAATATGTGAATGTTAATCAATCATCATGGTACATTTGGTGTCTGACTATATGCCAAGGTCAAACACCCTACAGCACATCCTCAGTCTCCTTAGTTCATCCAGTATTGCAGAAAAACACAGCAAAGATATTAAATCAAAGTTTTGGACGACTTACAAGAAAGTTGCGGATGAGTACGACGACGATTTCCTCCAACGAGCGCATGGTGATATAGGTGTTATCTTGACTTTTGTGCGTTCGCTTCTATGTTTCTCAATGCAGGTCTAACAGATGAATCAGGCTGGTCTACTCTCAGCCGTCATCTCTACATTCATCGGTGGAATGCAGCCTGACTCGGGAGTTACTACGAACGCCCTCTTGGTGCAACTAATTCAAGTCACTGTTGACGGGCCAAGTGCTGTACATAACATCAGCAATCTATCCTCAGTTACACACTATTCTTCTTTAACCATCTGGGCAGAAACCCTTGCCTACATTGGCCTAGCGCTTAGCATCTTGGCTGCGTTCGGGGCAGTTGTGGGAAAACAATGTCTTTATTCATATGAAGCAGCCCGGAAACAAGGAGGGTCTCTAGAAGATAGCGGCGCGCAGAGACAGATGAGATTGGATGGGCTAGAGTATTTGCAGCTGCGTGCTTGGTTGCAGGCATTCCTTGGACTCCTCCAGGTTGCGTTGCTACTCTTCAGCGTCTCACTATGCCTCAAGACATGGTCCGACCACCTCCCGACATTCGGCTTCATGGTCTGCACTACAGCTTCTGTCACTCTCTTCTATATAGGTACTATCTTCCTGTTAGCGTGGTGGCAGGATCGCCCTGTCCAGATGCCAGGGACAGAGCTAGCTCGAGCGATTGGCGAATTTTTTTGTCGTGCAATCCCCTCTACCTCGACTCAGACTCCTGACAAATCGTCTCCCGTTCCTAACAAATTGTCTCCCGTTCCTAACAAATCCTCCCCTATATGCTGGATACTAGAGACATCGACGGACCAGGAAGCCGTCCAGGCTGCGGTTGTGATGGTACCTCACACGCAATGGTCGCCAAACACTGATGTATCACCAGCCTTTCAACGTTTACGTGATAACTTCGAGGCGTGTCGTGACACGGAAGAACTCTACGTGAACTTTGGCAAGGCCATGGCCCATTTGTGCACCCAGCCAGTGAAAATCGAGACAGTTCTTGTGGACAAACCTTTTTGGCATGACGAATTTCAGCCAACACGAAGTCGTTTCATTCGCGATGCGTTCACGGCTTGCCGTGATGCCTACTCTCATCTTAACAACGAGACACCGCCACCGGAGGAAGATGTGAATGGATTGAAGTTGAAGCATCGGGCCAGTGCACGTGCCGCCCTGAGGACGATGGTTGTCCACGGACTGAAATTTTGCCTTTCACTTCCAGACAGTGAAAAATTGATTTGGTCTGGTAATCTGTGCTGGTCTCATAGTGATGGGCGTAAGCCCAACTGTGAAGAATTTGACTGGCTCGTTGATTATCTGGCGGATGAAGTAGGGTACGACAAAGCCGATGAAACGGGTGATGCTTTGCTTGCGCTGAGTGCGATGCGTGGACTAGGGAGCCCTGCCAAGCGATGCTCCTACATCAAGTCGCTTGTACGTTCTATGGAATCAAGTAGACCTTCTCGAGTCCGGCATGCTGCGCTTAGGACTGTTCATGATGCTCGAGGTGAACTGGTTTCTATCACCAGTTCCTCGATGCAGCCTGAGGGTATAAACGCAGAACTCCTTGATGATCTTTCTCGCACCCTTTCCACCGTAATTCCCAAGAATGGAGCCGACTCGGACGCCTCTCTCAAATACATCCACATCATGTTTGCCATGACAAAGAACGATGAGTGGTGTCAACGTCTTGTTGTAGCAGTAGCTCAGTGGACGTGCGAAGTCAACTAACGTGTATTGGTATGTACCTGTTGTAGCAGTAGCTACAGGTAGTGTCAGTAAGTAGGAACTATGTACGAAGGTAGTACTAACCTCAGTGGACGTGCGAAGTCAACTGAGGAAGGTTGCGATGCGCGGGAACAAATGGTATTTGTAGGTAGGTAGAAATGAAAAACGGTACCGAGTGTTAATAATGGCGAGGATTGATATAACAACACTCCCCCTCAAACCGAGCGTAGTCCGAGGGCGGATGCGAAATGCTTGACTTTCAAGCTGGGAAGAGGTTTCGTAAGGGTATCTGCAGTCATATCGTCCGTAGGGCAATAAACTAAAGAAATTGAACCTTTTTCGACAGAGAAACGAATAAAATGATACCGGATGTCTATATGTTTGGTCCGGGCGTGAAACGCCCCGGACTTCGCGAGTGCTATGGCCGACTGGTTATCACAGTGGAGCACTGTGGCCTGCGTTAACGGACGGAAAATCTCGCTGATGAAGCGCCGGAGCCACACAGCCTCCTTCGCAGCGTGCGTCGCTGCGACGTACTCGGCTTCGGTCGTTGACAGCGTCACTAACTCCTGCTTTTTGGAACTCCAGGATACCGCACCCCCATCCAGGAGGAATGCGTAACCGGACACTGCGTGCCGGTGTTCCTGTGATGCGCCATCAGCGTCGGTGTAGCCTTCAAGCCCGTGTTGCGAATTACCGAAGGTGAGAGCGAGAGTTTTGGTGCCGAGGAGGTAACGATAGATCTTCTTGACAGCCTCCCAGTGAGGCATACCGGGATTGGCGCCAAACTGCGCTACCGTGGAGACGGCGAATGCGATGTCGGGGCGAGTCCCGACAGCGAGGTGCATGAGCGAGCCAACAGCTTCGCGGTAGGGGATATTCTTCATTTGCGCGGACTCGTTTGGCGTTTTCGGAGATTGCGAATGCGAGAGCGGGAGATTAGGGTCCATGGGGATAGAACTCGGCTTCATATCTACGAAGTTGTACTTCATGAGTATGGCGTCAACGTAGGATTCGTGTGAAAAGGAGATGGTGCGCGCGACTCGGTCGCGCGTCACCTTCATGCCAAGTAAGGATGCGACTGGACCACATAGTACAGTAACTTATACCCGTATTAGACGGACAGCTGAGGGTGACAATGTAGCAATAGAGGCGGGCCAGCCCATGTGGGCCCATGGCAACAATTGTACCATGGTAGACGAGTGGGCTGCAGGGTTGTGTGTACCTGTTGCAAACGGATGGGCCGGTGGTATATAGTGTAGATGGTAGTATAGGAATGTACTATATAGGTAGTGCTGCCGCGGTCCGGTTTGGTCCGGTTCATTGAGGGTTGAGCAAGAACCAAGAACCGAACCTAGGTCCGGTTCTAGTAGACTTGCCGAACCTTGGACTGGACCTTTGCGAACGGTTCAAAACGGTCAGGTTCGGTTTTTTTTCGGTCTGAACGCGAACCGAACACAAAAATTTTTACAGCTAGTGACAAAAAACATAGACAGTGTAGCTACTTGTCCAACGAAGCTGCATGGCCCTCAGCCTCTACTGCTGCAGAAAGGTGCCCATTCCTATATGCTCCCTTCAGCAATTGTAATGCAGTGAACGTGGAAGTCGCGAGTGCATTGCGTCGCATACCCATTCCTTGTCATTGCGAGTGAAGACAGTGCGAACATCAGCAGTGCGCTCACTCTTTGACAGAGTGGCTCGGATGTTTGAGTCTTGAGGTTCATCGTCAGGTTCGTCGTCAGGTTCGTCTTCAGCTGTCGGCGCATCGTCATCTTCGGGTGCGTCCTCATCTTCGACTGACTCAGAGTGGCCAGTGTGGCCAGTGCCAGGATCAGTGTCAGTATCCGTATCGGCACCAGCCGCGTGAAAGTCGTCATCATCAGATAACGGGGCTGAGAGCTGCAATGCGACCTTTTTGCTGACTAGCCGCTCGGTCGCACTAGATAATGCACGTTTGCGGGCTGTTGAGCTGTTTGAGGATGATGGGTGAGAGCAAGCGTTGTCGGCATCGCGGAGGCGAGCAGAAGGCTTGAATGTCCGAATGGAGCGACGAGCACCTGCAGTAACCGGTGCTGGTTTGCGCCCAGCCTTCAGCAGCACTGAGAAGGCGTCTGAGCCTGTGGGAGTGGTAGATAGTGTTGGCTGGGCAGAGGACGGAGTGCCAAGTGGGATAATATCATCAGGGTCATTGTAAAATACAATATCTTTGGCGTCCTTGAGGGAGCCGTCAGCATTGAGAGCACATCCGTCAGATTCGGACATGTCGAGAGGAAATGATACGACTCACCTGGTGGGGCTTGCTCCCTTTATGTGTGAAACAAGCAAACAGTAAATCTATATCAATGATATATCAATCAGTATATTGAGCTTATTGACAGTTGACATACCTCGAGCGTCTCCTGGAAACTGGGGGCAAGCAAAAAGTAGATCTATACCAATGTGATATACCAATCAATATATTGAGATTATTGACTGGCAGTTCACATACCTTGAGCATCTTCTGACAACCGGGGGTGCGGGATGCGAGCGTCCGATTCAAAGACAATGCGAATCTTGAGGATCCCCGAAGTCGACATGACCATGGGGGGAGAAGTCGAAGTCGAAGTGAGCATGGGTGTGCCTCGCCGATATCGCGAGGACAATTCGGTTCGGGGTTCAGAACGGTTCGGGAACGTCCGAACCTATGTGAGAACCGTTCAGAAAATAGTGGACCACGAACCTCATTTCGGTTCGGTCCGTCCAAAATATGGAACCATGGACCGAACCATGGACGGACCTGACCATTGGTCAGGTTCGAACCAAGGTTCGGGACCGGACCACGGCAGCACTATATATAGGATATCTATGTAAATAGTAGTGAATGCAATGAGCTATAGAGACGAGTGGGCCGGCTGAATGGTGTGCAATGTAAATGAGTGGGCCAGGGAGATGGGTATGATGGGGACGAGTGGGCCGGGGGTATGAAGTGCAATGGAGACGGGTGGGCCGGTATGCAAAGTACAATAGAGACGGGTGGGCTGGGATGAGAAGTACAATTGAAGACGAGTGGGCTGGGGGTATGGGGTGCAATGGAGACGGGTGGGCCGGTATGCGAAGTACAATAGAGACGAGTGGGCCGGGGGTAAGGGTGTAATGGAGACGAGTGGGCCGGTATTTGAAGCACAATGGAAGACGAGTGGGCCGGGGGTACCGGGTGAAATGGAGACAGGTGGGCCTCATGATATTCCACCCGGTGGATAATGGAAATATTTGCCGGTATGGATGATACAGATGAGCCGGAAGAGTGTTGTGGGACAGAGGTGAAGGTGAGATGGATGATACAGATGAGCCGGAAGAGTGTTGTGGGACAGAGGTGAAGGTGAGATGGATGATACAGATGAGCCGGACTTCCGGTGTGCGAGAGGTGAAGGCGAGATGGATGATACAGATGAGCCGGACTTCCGGTGTGCAAGAGGTGAAGGCGAGATGGATGATACAGATGAGCCGGACTTCCGGTGTGCGAGAGGTGAAGGTGAGATGGATGATACAGATGAGCCGGACTTCCGGTGTGCGAGAGGTGAAGGTGAAATGTATGATACAGATGAGCCGGACGTCGGCTGTCCGATTGAGGTGAAGGTGAAATGGATGATACAGATGTGCCGGACCTCCGGTGTGCAAGAGGTGAAGGCGAGATGGATAATACAGATGAGCCGGATGTCCGCTGTGTGATTGAGTGAAATGGATGATACACATGAGCCGGAAGGGCATTGTGTGATATACAATGATGGAAATACCATCCAGTATAGCAACATTCTCACTACTAAAATGCAGGTTGTGCGATTATATGATGCATTGTCTTCAACATTGAAAGCACCAGAGCTTGACAACACAATGTAGACAACTAGTACATACGAAAACATGAATGATATAGACTAGTATTATGTCGGCCCGTCACCGGAAGGCTTGCTTGGATACCTAGCACTCACTGACCGACCTTGGTGCGATAGAGGTCCAAAGCGCGGGCGTGGCAAAGGAGCTGAGACGGACTGGGCATCAGCCGGCACATTTGATGGCCCGGCGACCGGGAGAATAGGAGATTGCACAGGTGGTGCACCAACCGGAGGAACAGATGGGCCGGATTCCCTCATGGTCAGTGAAGGGATGATGGTGGAATTGGATGGCACCCGGTTGTGCCTTGCGACCGGTGATCCATCTGCAGTATCACCCAACATATCACCACCGGTCTGGGCACCCATCCAAGAGACATCCGGAGTGAACACATTGTTGGTCACAGTGCGAGCAAATGCACTGATAGATGGGTCATGGGCTGTCATGGGGGGTGGATTAAATGCCAGTGGAGTTGATGCTGTGACCTGAGTAGATCTTTGCTCCCTCAGATACCTGACAATACCTCTTACTTCAGCCGTGCACTCAGCAAGGAGTCCCTTCTGCACACGCATATCCCGCCCTATGTCATCAATCTGCATGGACATGGCGCTATCAGATGCCTCAGCGATGTCCATGCGATTCTCCAAGTGATCATGCCGGACGTCAATTTCCATTCGATCGTGTGTGCGCAGTTCCTCCATCTCGATGCGAATTTGGGCCAACATGGCCTCCATCTCATCATGAGAGAGAGGGTATTGGGCGGAATGACCAGGTCTGGAAGGAGAGACAGGAGAGGAATGGTTGAAAACGACCGGTAACGGCGAGAACCGGATATTGTCCTCCGAGGCCATGGCTGGTGATGAAGGTGGCATCTCATCATTGCTGGGCTCCACCCAATGATCAGGAGGGAAATCGTGTGCGGATGCCAAAGGGGCCGGTTGTTGTGCAGAACCGCCGGCAGCAACCATCTGGACATCATCGACGTTGTCCTCCTCTTCGATAGGACTTGGGTGCCGGATATCCTTGCCTGCAAGAATACATCAGAATGGACAAGTAACCGGAAACAAAAGACTTGCCTTTCGCCTTGGATTTCCCACTCATCTTCTCTCCGGTGGCTTTGGACCGGATGGTCTTGGAGCGAGTGGCTACTGCGACTGCAGGTGGTGCAGTGACGGTGATGGGGGTAATGGTGTTGGCAGAGGTGGTGGGTGCGCTCTCTGTGTTAGTCCGGATGCATGCCATCTTCCACAGATAGCACAATGAGCAAGTCGAGGCGATCTCGCCTTTCTTCGTCAATCGGGGGAAACACTCGACATTCTTGGCCAGACATCTATCACAAGGCGGATGGGGTTCATCAACGCGGGGCTATGGAGAATTAGTATGGTGAAGCATGGCATTGACCGGAAGACACACTGGTTCTGGCACTTTGCCCTTGCTGGTGGCCTTGCCCTTGGGCTGCATGGACTATTCAATAATGTTAGCGTTGTATATCACCTGTGCTATGACAAGCAAATCCTACCAGTTTTTGCCGTTTCCCTGGTCTGACAGTGGCCTGCATCGTGATGAGTGATAGACCGGTAAATGTGAAGTAAAATAATGAACTTGCCTTTGGCCTGCCTTGTGTATCATCATCCTCATCCTCCAATTCATCCTCTTCATCGTCCTGAATCACAACCCGCTGACTTGCCTTCGACGCACTGCCCTTCTTTTTGACAACGATGACAGCCTGACGAGTTGATTTCCGGGGCTGCTTGTTGCATTAGTAACATTGAATATCTCAAGAAACAAACACACCTCAACGTCCAGAAGATCATCCACATCGATCCCCTCGCCATCCTCATCGCCATGATCTTCCGGTGCCTTTGCCTTCCCTTTCCCCTTCTCCTTCCCCTTCCCCTTCCCCTTTGCCTTTGCCTTGTCATTGTCGGTAGTGTCAGTGTCAGACAAAATTGCCTTCGACTTTGGTGCAGGCTTCCGGGCCCGGTTGACACGGGGCAAAGGGGGGCTGCTGAGCCGGCGTTTCCGGTTTGTTGATGTCCCGGCTGTTGCTGTCCCACCGGGTGGCACATCTTTAGGTATGCGAATGCTGATGCGTGGTGCCGGTGTCGGTGCAGAGGCCGGTGCCGGTACTGGAACAGGTACCGGTGGTGGGGCAGGTACCGGTGGTGGGGCAGGTACCGGTGGTGGGGCAGGTACCGGTGCAGGAGTAGGTACCGGTGCAGGTGCAGGTGCAGATGCAGGAGCTAGTGCAGTCACAGGTGTGAGTACAGGTTGCATGAGGAGGAATATCCTTACCAGTAGCTGCAGGTGAAGCAGGCGGTGCATGACCCAATGTCTTACTGTACAATGGATGCTTCATGCACATATCCTGATTGTTACCAAGATGGTTCCAATCCGGTACTACCACCAATTGTGAGGTGCGCCTCTGAGCGCGAAAGATCTCAGCTGCAAGTGACAGCAGGCCAGGGGGAACATATGAAGCGTCCCTCCCATATGAACGAATCGCGACATTCTGGGACCCTAGTATCAATACAGGCAACCGACAGGACGACAAACATACCACTTCACGAGCAATCTCGTGGCTCAACTCCATTTTCTCATCCTGAGACTGCGACCGGAGAACATCTTGAACCATGTCATAGAGCCGGGCGACAAGAGCGATGAGAGCCTGGTTGGCAGCCGCAGCAGAAGCAGATTGAGAAGACATGATAGTGAGACGATTACAATAGAGCTAGTGGACAAGTCACCCGGAAGAGACGTGTAAAACAACAACACTTATAAAATTTTCAATCACCGGCTAGCCGGGCCGACTCGGACATATCTGAGTCCATTGTTCGCCTCATTGTTGTCAGTCTATTTTTAGATATAAATGTCTCATTGTTGACACGTCATCAGTAATCAATTGTTGCCAACCAACCTGTGAGTACATCATCCGGTCGCAGCCTTCTGTAGAACATGATTCTTCCAGTGATATCATGAAGTCCGTGGATTTGTACGACCCATTCCAGAAGAAAAGAAGGATGCGATCATCGGCGATTGCTCAGCATAATCTACATGTATCTAGTGAGGATGTAGGTAAGAAACCATCACCTCCCACAACGTACCGGTTGATATTATCCAGCATCCCAGTTCATAGCATCTTGGAGCCAGGGAGAGAGGAGCGCACTTACTACAACCCTTTCATGGTTTGTTCAAGCATGGGTGAATGTGAGTTCATCTCATGCTAAGCGATGGTAAGGACAATTGATATGAATTTTAAAGATCTAGATGTCCTGTCAGCCCATGATGGGTTGCAAGACGGTAAAAGATTGAAGATGAACTCTGAACCGGCAGATGACGACCGGTCACTGGACCTGGGATTTCCTTTGTCAGATTATGACCAGATGACCGACAACCACGACCAACAACAATCAGACATGTTGGATATGCAATTTCCCACCTTGTCTGATGATGACCGGTCAAATGGTGAGATGTTGGATTTGGGATTTCCTCCACAGCCGGATGATGAAGATGTGCTTGATTTGGGCTTTGATATTGACCTCTGTGATCCGGCCGGCAACACAGGCATGTCGCTGGAATCTACATCTCATAAATTGACACTCATTTGAAACAATATTTGACTAGAAGACGGGGCTCTTGACATGGGCTTCGGCACATATCTGGCAGATGATTCGCTTGATAAAGGGACTAATATTTCACCGGAAGAACACCCTTTAGATATGGGTTTCGAGATGGATCCAGTACGTGTTGATCCGGATCAGTCTTGTAAGCCTTCTTGCTGTTCCTGAGATTGTTCTGATCATTTAAACTTAGTCGCTGTCAGTCGACAGGATCCAGTTGGATATGTAATTCAACGGGCTGTAGGTGATTTGCGCGAGGCAATGCACCGGTTGCAGATTGACCGGGCTGGTAATGCAATGTCGCCGGACGAAGCCTTTGCTAGAGAGCAAGTTCTTGACTGTACACAAGAGTTATTGTTGGCATGTCAACTGATGTCGATATCTCGACTTTCAACGTGAAGTATATATTTATAGTCAAATGCTATCTACACCTATCACTAGAATACTTGCTTACAACGATCCAAATTACTACGATTGCATATACTGAGCTTTATAAGAGGCCTTTGTACTTCTATGAGAGCGCTTTGGCTCTGGATTGGTTGTCTGTGCTTCAGATGCTTTGGCTTTCTTGCCGGAGTCCCTTCTTGGGGCAGGGGGTGTTGGTTTGTGCACCGGTGCTTTGTTAGTTTTATTCTTGGCATAGACACCTGATGTAGGGCCAAATGCACGACTTCTAGAAAGATGTTGCGAAGGCAGAGGATCATTGTCATCATTACCGGTTGATTGTGCAGAACCGGTGCTGGTGTTGTCTTCTGCCTGTCCCCTTCCACTTGCAGTCAGCTTTGATTTCTTGACTGGTGGCGGACCATCCGACTCCAAATCAGATTGAATGGGAGCAACCCTACCCCTCTTTTGGGATGATTTTAATTTAGGTGGTGGTAGGACCGGTATGGATCTCTTGACCGGTGGGCGAGTATCTTCCTCCTCTGAAGCCGGACGAGTGCTGCAGACGGTATTGGTCCGCTTGGCCTTTGAAGTTGGTTGTGGGACAGGTATGGATTTCTTGACCGGTGGGCGAGTATCTTCCTCTGAAGCTGTACTAGCCCTGCGAACGGTATTGGTCCGCTTGGCCTTTGAAGGTGGTGGTGGGACCGGTATGGATTTCTTGACCGGTTGGCGAGTATCTTCCTCCTCTGAAGCTGTACTAGCCCTGCGGACGGTATTGGTCCGTTTTGACTTTGAAGGTGGTGGTGGGACCAGTATGGATTTCTTGACCGGTGGGCGAGTATCTTCCTCCTCTGAAGCTGTACTAGCCCTGCGGACGGTATTGGTCCGTTTTGCCTTTGAAGGTGGTGGTTGGACCAGTATGGATTTCTTGACTGGTAGGCGAGTATCTTCCTCCTCTGACGCCGGACTAGTGCTGCGGACCGTATTGGCCCGTTTTGCCTTTGAAGGTGGTGGTGGGACAGGTATGGATTTCTTGACCGGTGGGCGATTGTTGATAGATTTTGACTTTGGTGGTGGTGATTGGAGGTTGTCATCGTGATAGTGATCGTCGTCCTTCTCCTCATCTTCATCATCCTTGTCCTTATCCTCACTACTAGACACCGGTTCCACCCCCCTGGTGCGCCTTCCGGTGGACTTTTTCACTGGAACCCTGGGTCTCGCATCAGAACCATTGCCAGAGATTATCTCTGCCGGTTCTCTCATTGTCTTATCATCGCCTTCCCAGCCTTTAAATTCAAAGGTTGGGCGAACCTGGTCCTTCTGTCTTTGACACCACAACTCTAACAGCCGGTCAGCATCAGCCAGCCGAATCTTTGATGGATCGTCGAGCCTCCAGCCGGTAGGTAAAAACTTGGCTGCAATAAAGTCACCCTGAGCCATCCTGACTGAGGCCCAAGAAACAGACGCCTTTGGTTGTTGGCTGCACAATCCTGAAAAATTGCTGGTCAGCAGATCAACTCTCCAGATGCATCATTTGTGAAACTGACTGTAGTGCTTTGTGAGGAAAGTCCTTATAAGACGCTTTTTGCTCTCTAGGTTAAGCTCTGTGACGTCCGGTATGACCGGCAGCCCATAGCTATCCACCTCCAAAGGATAATCGTCCTTCTTTCCACCTTTCTTCCTGCTCTTCTTCACCTCCTCTTTGTTATCATTGTCATCATTATTCAGGTCAACGTCTGGTATCACCCCAGGTCAGATAAGTACTTGACTGAATGGCGCAAGATTTTCAAACAGAAGCTCACCAAACTCTTCACCAGCATAGGCATTCCACTCCGATAACATGGACTTCCAGTCCTTCGTATCGGTATAACTATTCCCCTCCAACTTTTCATTGAAGTCAATTCTTTCAACCGGATCAGTATATCTTTACCGGTTGAGTGTGAAGCGGAACTCACCCATTGATCCGGACTTCGTCTTCCTCTGTTTTCCATGCTGACAATATGAAATTCTCATACCGGCCTGCTTCCACAACTTTGTTGCCAGATCCTTCATCATACCGGGTGCTTCTTCTTTGCAAAGTCCGCCTGAACAGCTGCAGGAGGAGCCTTGGCAGACCACTCAATCGCAGTGTTCTGAGCCTCCTCCAGCTCCTCTTTAGATAGACTGGCCACCACTGCAGTGAGTGTTGTCTGATATCTTTCAATAAATTTCTTCGATCCTGGCATTGCTCCGGTCTTTTCAATGATCTCCTCCTTGCGCAGTTGTTCTATGACCGACCGGGAAGTCCATTTCTGACCGAACTTGTTGGCTTTCTTTTCTCGAGTCTTTTCAGGTCTCCGGTTATATAACCAGTCCCGGTACGTCTTGATACATCATGATATAAGTCGGTCATCATGTATAAATTTAAAGTTCTACTGCTCACATATTTCCTGTTCTTCAATGACCGGTCATCCATAGCAGGGGCATGCACCTTGGCCTCTTTTATGACGGCCTTCAGAATCTTTTTTCTATCGTTGGCAGCTGCTTCCTTCCATTCTTCTAGGTGGGATTTCAAGACCAGCACCTCTTCATCGGTTAATTTCTTCTGCTTGGTCTTTTTTGGGCTATCGACTGATGAGTTGGACCGGGGCATGGCAAAGTAGTTGAGGAGCAGTGGACGTCTTGATAGAAGAAAGGATGCATGTGTATCTCACAGTAATAGGTTACATAACCGATGTACGTGACTGCAAACCGAACAAAGGATTGTCCAATACTCGTTCATTGGTATGAATCCCTCAACATCCTATGTGTTTCTGATTCATAGAATGTAGAACTGTAAAAGCATATGGACTTAGACCTGTATTATATAGTATATGGGCAGCATACAGCCCTCAAATACTGGATACCGCCCTGTGCAATCATATTCCACAACTTGCTCAAGTAAGTATAATCACAAATGACTTTGAAGGCCAGCATGAATGTGGACATTAACAGCCGGTGTCCTGAAGATCAAACCAGAAGCCTGTTTGTCTCTAGAGTTGGTTATTTGGTTTGAACTGTTCTCTCAGAGCATGTTTTGCAATGCCAGTGCCCTCGACTAAAGTTTAATCAATGTATTGACTTTGCCAGACTCGTCAATAATCTAATCGAAAGAAGTATATATTGCTGCCGAACCCTCGTAATTACCTGAATGATTGTTCTACAGCCAACAATCCAGAATGCTGGCTAGAAAGAAGTATTTAAACATTGAAATGTAACCTCCGGTCGATGTACTTTATCCAGTCAATTGTCATGTAACTTGAACATGAAATCCATGCGACTCGGGTTAATGGGAGGATTACGGTGTTTGTGATGTCATGCAACTATGGCAACCTCAGTGACTCCAACCTTAATATATCCCATACAGGTGACATTGCAAGATCTTCGGTGAGATCACAGGAACAATGTGGTAATCCCGACCGGTCAAACCATTCGGAGTCTGAACAACACCGGATCAATTGGTCCCTTGATGACTGGGTAGTTCAATGACTAAGAAGGGAAAATGTGGTAATCTCGACGGTTCAAAATCCCCGGAAACTGGAATTGATGGAAGGCACCGCAGTGAAGTCATGTGCTAGGCTACCAGTCATCAAGTTTACAGCACACCGATCCTTTCCAGTCAATATGGCAAATACCAAACAAAAGGGAATCACATACACCCCTCCTACAAAGAAACGATTACCTCAGCTGTATAAGCTCAAGGAAAAAACTACAACCAGGGGATCGAGGTCATCTTGGGTGAAAGATTCATGGGCTAGGAAAACAAAGTCGGTAACATCATCACCAATAAAATCACCCTCAAAGCATAAATCTGGGTCGCCTCACTTGCTCTATGAAGGTGCTGACTTTGAGTTTGACCAAGGTAACATCCCCCAGCCTAAATTTCCAAAATCCCAGGCAAGCAACAGTTATCTTCATTTCCCCGGTCTGACCGGACCATACAGAGTCAGAATGCATATCTCCGGCAATGGAAATGCAAGTTCAAGGACTACATAAATTCACTCATGATCAGAGAAGCCCCACCAGCCAACCGACTTTGCTCAGTCTGCAAGAAGGATGGGGTGTATAGATGTCATGGCTGTTTCAATGAGCCACTCTTTTGCACAGACTGTTGCAGAATTCAACATCAAAGACATCCATTCCATCGCATCAGTCAATGGACCGGATCATTTTTTCAAGAAACTTCACTCATTAAAGTTGGCCTGCACATTCACCTTGCTCACGACGGCACTCCATGTCCCAGCAGCACCGATGACTCATCAGACTTCTTTCAGTGGTCAGATACCGATGACAATATAGATGACGATTATCCGGAAGGACCTTTCATTCAACCGGTCAGAGACTCAGATCGTCCGGCAATAACTGTAGTAGACAAGTCCGGCGTTCACTCCCTTTCCATATGTTATTGCCAATGCCCCAGTGCTCTCAGCCGAGACATACAGCTCTTTCAAGCAGGCTTGTTTCCGGCGTCTTTCACCAGACCAAAAACTGCATTCACATTCGCTGTCTTGGACGACTTTCTGTTAGACAATCTCGAGTGCGGTACATCGGCCATGAATTACTACAGCAAAATTCGCAGACTCACCTCTAGCATCTTTCCACTGATGGTTCCGGTGAGCTGGGTTTTATTCTGTACTTCACATTCTGGTCATTAAAGAACGATATCTGTAGGATCGCTATAGAGAGCTCATGAGAGCTGCCAGGCAGTGGCGACAATGCAAGCTCTACAAGTGGCATGGATTTGCCCACAAAGATGACCAGCCAAAGGATGGTGATCTTGCCCTATTTTGTCCGGCATGTCCGCAACCGGGTATAAACTTGGACCTGTCTACCAGTACAGTCGCCCAGCCTGACGATACACCTTCCTGGCTCATGACTAGGTATTTGGTCATGGATGGCAATTTCAAAGCCGAGCACATGCATCCGGTGAATCCATCCGATGAAGTATCATTAATGGATGGTCTGGGGTTCATGGTCTCCGATGAAAGATACAAGAGCCATTTGGCCATTGCTCAAGACAATGTCCAAAGGTCGGATTGCAATAATCACCGGGCAGTAAATCAAGCAAACGCCTCGCGGCAAAGGCTGGAAGCCACCGGTATAGGAGGATGTGCATGTGCACGGCATGGATGTTTTGTCCCACATTCCATGGTTGACTTTCAGAAAGGCGAAAGGTCAGTACATATTGCATCCGGTCACATCAATGGATGATCTTACAACTCTTACGTGGAATAATCAGGCAGATGAACATGGACTATGCATTAAGTCAAGCTCTCAACTATAAGACCGACGGAATCTCTCGAGCCATCACATTCTACGACATAAATTGTCAGTATAACAAGTATTTGAAGGACCGGATCGCTTCCAGCATGTATCTTTCCATCCCCATAGGTATGGATATCATTCCTGGAATCGGTTTGTGGCATGTACATGGACATCAAGACAACTGCTTTGTCCGGTATGCATCAAATTTTATCCATGGGACCGGCCGGATAGACGGAGAGATTATGGAAACCCTCTGGGCACCTTTGAATATAATATCTCCATCGGCCAGGGGCATGGGAACTCCCCATCGCAAGGAGGTATTGGATTATCAGATGAATGATTGTAATTTCATGAAAATGATTCGTATAAGTAAGTCACCCACCTCCAGATGTGCGTGTGTTGTCGGCGCTCATACAATTCATGTCCGGATGGCACGTCCGGTAGCTAAGTTTCTGTCCAGAAAATTCAAAGAGGCCATCAAGGGGGCTTCGGAAAGCAAACTTGCTTTTGATAATCTTAACGAGACCGCCAACCCCGACATGGTAGTTCTTTGGAAGGCAGAGGAGGCATTGGCTCATGCAAACAGAGCAGAGGATCCTACGGCTATGGACATCTATGAGGTCCGGTTGGAAAGAGGCAAGTGTCCACTTTTATTGGCTGTCCGGTAGGTCTGATCATGAGGTCGTGCAGCGCCAACAAAGAAACAGCAGGAATTGCGCCTGTTGCAGGCTCAAAATCGCCCTGAACATCCGGTCATCAACCCTCCGGTCGACGAGGAGCCGCCACTTGGCTTGCAACCGGTCTTACCATAGAGGAATCGCAAATATCTCTCTGCAAGGATGTGAGAAGTTTGCGAATGCACCCAACGGACATGCAACTGTTGAGAGTGGCTCGATGCCGGGATAAGCTTCACACTCAGATCACGAGCTTTCTTGAGATGTCACCTACTTATCTCGGAGTTGGAGTCAATGTCAATGATCCGGATTGTCTGGTTACTGTTTGTAACTCACTGGATGATTGTGAAGATTACTCCGATTTTGACGAAGATCAAAATCCTGATCTGGACGTACACAATGCTTCCATATTTCAACCGGAGCTCACTGTCATACCCCTACCATCCAACATTGGTGCAGTGAGGTGCAGGGAGTTAGGTCTCACCAATCTCATCAAAGAAGAAATTGCCCTCCGAGAAGGTCAGGCCAATGACGCACTGCATGCCATTAGAGTTCATTTAGGAGATAAAGCTGTTTTATTCCGCAATACTGTCCGGTCAGCCAAGTCACAGGCTTCATCTACTAGGGCATGGACTCGAGTTCGCTCAGTTGAAACAGCAGTCAATCTCCATGCTCGTATATATTCGAAATGCCGGTCGCAACTGGCCAAACTCCCTGACCACGACCTCTTGAAGAAATACCTTCCTTTGAAGAAAGAAGACCTGAAAGCCAGCTCTGCGGTGGCCGATCCAAATGCACGTGGTCAGAGAGATACCACTCTTTCATGGTTCTGGTCCTTGGATGTTCAGGGAGACACATCAGGAAATGACTGGATGACTGAATGTGTGTCTAGTGTTTCTGATTATGAGGTCGTCGGTCACATGTTCTAATTATAGTTTACCGGGTTAATTGGCTCCGGACAAAAGCACTGCGCGATCGCTGGAATGAGGAGGTTATTCTTGTCAAACACGAAATGCAGTGGTCAATTAATTTCTTCACCCACAGAGCCAAGCAATGGCTCTGTCACATGCACAATGCTACTTCTGCAGGGCTCACCGGACATACATGTTATGCTGCCAGACAATCTCACATATATGACCTGCTGGCAGCACATGCAGAGGATGCTTTTCGGAAAATGATCGTTGGGATAGAAGTCCCAGTTCCGGGTTAGTTGCATAATTGTGATTACCGGTTGATAATATATGAACAACTAGCGGCATATGCAGAGGATGCTCTGCGGGAAATGATCGTTCGGATAGAAGTACCGGTGCCGGGTTAGTTACATAATTGTGGTCACCGGTTGATAAGACCTGTGAGGTAATATACCCTTGTGTTTGGCATGTAAATATTCCCAGTGTGCCGGTCACACCATAGCCTCATATTCCTCTCCATGGACAATACTGTAACTCTCATCCCCTCCAACCAAGTCATCATTGCCGCCAAGGGCAATCACATCACAGCTGCAGATATCTCTCGTGCCCTATTCTATGCCAATTCCCGGATGCTGGCCATGCGCCTGTATGTCGACAAGAGTTTTGCCACTGCCATACCTGGTTATGCAGAGACGTTCTACACCCTGATGAAATGGGAGATGGAGGTAGGGAGCCAGCCATGCCGATACTCCCATGCCCTCATCCTTTTCTCTGACATAGACCTTTGCAACACCTTTCATCAATATATGTTTTATCACCCGGTTGTCAGCTACTATTCCTCAACTTCTCAAGGATGTGCTCTCAACCATGACTGCTCACACATTGGTTGATCGGCGACCGGATGTCAATGCCATTTTGCAGGATATCCGGGCATTGCGCCTTTCTGCAGATTCAAACAAATCCGATGACTATGACATTGCTCACATGCCGGACTACTTCAATGACTGGTGGAAGGAATCACTTGGTTGTTGCAGGGTTTCAGATATGTTGCCCAAGTCATCTGTCCAAGATGTTATGGATTTGGTTGAATGGCACTTTT